CGTATGAAAGTCTCGTTGCAAGTGATTCAAAACTCTACAACGTGGAAAGTAGAGAGTGTTAATTACATACTAAATAGTTTGCTTTGATTGAGTCGGATTGATGTTCAGTTGAGGAAAAGGAAAATTCAATCCATCTTTATCTCTCAAACTAATGTTAGTAGTTTCGGGTGAATTTTAGTACAATAAGTGGTCAAGTAAGGTAAAACATAGTTTTTATAATACTCCTATTCTGAGGTCAACTTTTATTTAGCGACCATCCCGTCATTCCCTGTGGGTGACTGCTTAATACAGGTTCGACTGTATTTTCACTTGGAGGAGTATTTACCTTTCCCGTTTCTCTCTCTCCACCGCTTTGAACAATGCCCTGAGATCAGGTTCTGCAGCTGCACTCATTTCGAGTGGTGTGTAATCCTCAAACGCCTCACGAAACCAGCTCGCGCGGTGAGGGAAAGTTCTACTCTATTGAATAGAAAATTAATGATAGACAACTGAACGTTTTCAACACCGGATTTCATTCACCTAGTATCACTCACTGTACAAGAGTTTATAATCATTTAATTGTCGACACGATTTATCGCAACTGCCTGATTCGTCTTCGCCGAAGAAGTTTGCATCAAGACCCCCGTCTTACGTGTTTAATATGCTGAAGAAGTTAGAAATTCTAAAATACGCAAAAATGGAAAAAGAACAGTCAAAGACTATCATCACATCTCTCAGCCTTCATGAACAATTGAGCGTTGTCAAGCAATTTAAGTTGTTGAAGGCCATCGCTGTCGAAAAATGGGTGACTTAAAGGAGCCGATTACGCGGAGATATCTAACGCCTATACCCCGCGAGCCAAAGCCATCGGCCTATCATTCTGTTTTTGCCTTGCCCAAATGCATATGCATGTTTATTAACATTTGTAGCCGCTCTAAAACCAAGAATAAAGCTAAAGCTGTTGTTGCGCTTGAGGCTGATATGTGTCCCAATGATGTCAATCAGTGTGCGTGTGGTAACGGAAACGCACCTCAAACGAGCACAACCGGACGCCATATTAAACATCGCAAATTATTCTACCTTTAGAAGAGACAGAAACTGGTCAAGAAGGGATATGAGAAATAATAGTGGTATTGCTATTTATATACGAAACAATCTTACAGTGGTTAATGTGTATCGCTCAACCTTTTATGAAGTCATCTGTAGAAACTTGCGTTTCTCACCCAGACATCGCTCATTAGCGTGCGGAATGTAGACACAGCCACGAGGAAACCAATATTGTTGATATTGGATGAACACCCGCAAACTGTTGTTATATGTGGCGGTGATTTGAATAAACTGAACATCGGTCGATTAGAAGAATTGACAGGCTGGAATGCGATATGGTGGATTTTCCGGCAAGAGGCCTTTCATGCTTAGATAATTGTTTCTCAAATCGCACTGACCTTTGCGGAAAATGCTATCCTTATCACATGCTATGGGCACCGCCCATAACATGCTGACAAAAACCGATTCCTGTGGTGTGATTTTACCAGCTGGCAGAAAGCTTCGTCCCAGCCGACACAAAGTTCAGACCCGATATCAGAGAGAGCACAGAAAGCGCGATTTACACTTGGCATTGACAGAGGAAGACTGGGGAGATGTTCATCGGATGTTGACCAAACAGTTAATCAACTCGAGAGAATTATTCGCGAACATTTAAATAGGAACAGAACGGTGTCGATGTCGCCGCGCGACCCAGGCTGGATGACACCATTAGTGAAGTGTATGCTGAGAGCTAAATCACGAAGCGAAGACAGACGGAAGGCCTTAAATAAAAGGATCTCGGAGGTTATCGTTGAAAATAGGAGGAACTTCCTTGCTGCTAAGGGCTCACGTGAGTGGTGGAAAAGGGTTGATAGCATATCACAGCGATGCCGTTCAATGGTTGTATCGCTCGACCACGCCTCTCTCGAGGAGCTGAATGATTATTTTGGCGAATTGTGGTCGGAGAACACCTACATGGAACCCGCGCCTATAGAACTTGGTGAAGATCATGTGATACCAGAAATCACCGAGCGGCAGGCGTGGAACTCTCTTCAACAAGTAAGTAAGACAGCTACTGGTCCTGACGGCATCCCGTATACTGTGTGTAAGGACCACGCCGAACTTCTCGCTCCAGTCATTGCCATGGTTTGGAATCTTTCTCTCAAGACTCACACGTGGCCTTGATCTCGGAAAAAGTCAAATGTCATCCCCCTACCAAAAGTGGATATACTAAAGGAGAAAACATTATCAGGGAAAAAACGTTACTTCCGTTATTGCGAGGGCTTCTGACTGAGAAGGTCATGTTAAGGGTTCATGCTAGAGATACAATGGAAGAACACTTAGGCGCAAGTCAATTTGTGTATAGGGAAGGGGGTAGCTGTACGAACGCACTCCTCTCAATCCAGTTTAAGGTTAATAATTATCTTGATACCCAAGAATGCAGGGCAGACAGCTAACAAATGTCTTTTTACACTTAGATCGTTAAGGAAGGAGAGTTATTCTCAGGCAGAATTAGACTACCTGTCTCAAAGTCTAGTTATTCCTAATTTGACCTATGGTCTAACGGTCTACGGCAGAGCTTTCGACTGTACGGTGTTTCCTGGACTAATATCACAAGCGGAGATACATATCTAAGGCGGTTAACAACTATGATCTATTAGAAAAACAGGATAGGAAAATATTCAACGAGGTAAAACATAAAGACATGAGAAACACCCACTGAGAAACCTTATGCCTAAACTGAAGGTCACAGAGTACAATCTAAGACACAAATCTAGTCACCCGCTAAATAAAACTCGGATCGAGTGAAGTATCCGGAAAGTTCCGGGTTGGTCATTAATTTGTACTGTACGTCTGACCAAAAAGTTGCCTTCTTTGTTAGCTTAGCCTTCATCAACGGCGTGTTTGGAATTTAACTGCCGACTCCGAAAAGGTTAGAAAGTCTCAATTCCGGCCAAAAGATGCAGCAACATGTCGTCAATCGGCAACAATCATCAGTCAAGTAAATCTAAGGTAGAATTATTTGGACATATAGGAGCCAAGAGCGTACTTCTTTTTTCTGTTAAAGATACCTGGCGTGACATTTGAAGAATCAACCATCGAAAGCAAGGATCAAAGCAAAAAAATATATACTCTACCGGAGGAACTTCCTTGCTGCTAAGGGCTCATGTGAGTGGTGGAAAAGGGTTGATAGCATATCACAGCGATGCCGTTCAATGGTTCTATCGCTCGACCACGCCTCTCTCGAGGAGCTGAATGATTATTTTGGCGAATTGTGTTCGGAGAACACCTACATGGCACCCGCGCCAATAGAACTTGGTGGAGATCATGTGATACCAGAAATCACCAAGCGGCAGGCGTGGAACTCCCTTCAACAAGTAAGTAAGACAGCTACTGGTCCTGACCGTATTCCGTATACTGTGCGGAAGGACCACGCCGAACTCCTCGCCCCAGTCATTGCCATGGTTTGGAATCATTCTCTCAAGACTCACACGTGGCCTTGATCTTGGAAAAAGTCAAATGTCATCCCCCTACCAAAAGTGGATATACTAAAGGAGAAAACATTATCAGGGAAAAAACGTTACTTCCGTTATTGCGAGGGCTTCTGACTGAGAAGGTCATGTTAAGGGTTCATGCTAGAGATACAATGGAAGAACACTTAGGCGCAAGTCAATTTGTGTATAGGGAAGGGGGTAGCTGTACGAACGCACTCCTCTCAATCCAGTTTAAGGTTAATAATTATCTTGATACCCAAGAATGCAGGGCAGACAGCTAACAAATGTCTTTTTACACTTAGATCGTTAAGGAAGGAGAGTTATTCTCAGGCAGAATTAGACTATCTGTCTCAAAGTCTAGTTATTCCTAATTTGACCTATAGTCTATCGGTCTACGGCAGAGCTTACGACTGTACGGTGTTTCCTGGACTAATATCACAAGCGGAGATACATATCTAAGGCGGTTAACAACTATGATCTATTAGAAAAACAGGATAGGAAAATATTCAACGAGGTAAAACATAAAGACATGAGAAACACCCACTGAGAAACCTTATGCCTAAACTGAAGGTCACAGAGTACAATCTAAGACACAAATCTAGTCACCCGCTAAATAAAACTCGGATCGAGTGAAGTATCCGGAAAGTTCCGGGTTGGTCATTAATTTGTACTGTACGTCTGACCAAAAAGTTGCCTTCTTTGTTAGCTTAGCCTTCATCAACGGCGTGTTTGGAATTTAACTGCCGACTCCGAAAAGGTTAGAAGGTCTCAATTCCGGCCAAAAGATGCAGCAACATGTCGTCAATCGGCAACAATCATCAGTCAAGTAAATCTAAGGTAGAATTATTTGAGCATATAGGAGCCAAGAGCGTACTTCTTTTTTCTGTTAAAGATACCTGGCGTGACATTTGAAGAATCAACCATTGAAAGCAAGGATCAGAGTAAAAAAATATATATTCTACTATTTCCAAGGTATAGTAAGCTGGGCATGTTTAAAGTTCTCCCTTTTTTTTTTTTGGTTCTTTTATGGCGACCCCCCTACTCCAAAATGCTTGCAGACGCGATTCTTCGATCTGAACTCACGCGTGGCTGCAGAATTTGATATTTATTTGAATTTTCTCTTTTGATTCTTTTACCCAATGGCACCATTGTGCTCTTATCTTAAACATGAATTTTTTTCTTTCCCTATCAATTTGATCTTTCTCGTGAGAGGCTTGCCAATGGGAACGGAAAGGTAGAGTCTAGCGACAACGCCCACAAAATTAATATAATAAAATTTCCGAATTCTTTTTTAAAAAACTAGTGTTTGATAAAAAAGTTGTGCTCATTTTTAATTAACAATTCTTCGAACTGATGTAGTGCATGACTTATTTTTAAAATTTTTTTTTTTGATCTTCGATGACGCTTAAAGTGCAAGTAAACCCAACCGACATTTGAAAGATTTCAAATATTCATACAAACTTCCAGGTTTGTCACGTGATCAACAAACCATCTGTTTCGTTGTTGATTTGGAGTCTGGGCCGACTTTCAGAACAAGGGGCGTTCGCCATATATTTGCAAGTATTGGAAGTGTATTGGTGAACAAATACTTGCTGAAGTTCTACTCCGCCATGGGAAATTGTCATACTGTTGGACCAAATGAAGCCTTAGTTCGTTCAGGTAAAGTTATTTTTGCATGATTTCTTTCTGCGTCATGGCGAACGATGCGTGACAAGTAAAGGTTGTAACCAACAAATATTGATCTCGATTCGTACTCTTTTTGAGCTACAATTTTAGTATTTTCCAGCAAAAATCACTGATACTTAATGATTATTTAGGTATTGGAATCCGGTACGAGATTATAAATAATTATTCTGTGGAAGATAGAAGTGCCTCTGACTCTGTGTAACTTCACTCCGATCGTGATACAAACAAGAACTTTCCGCATTCTAATCATGTTGCATACAACTCATGATTTTCAGGTGGCTGTTGTGGTAATGATGCAAAGAAAACCGTTATTGGGGGTTGGGTATGGGCTTGGTGGCTTGTCACAGACGTTCAGTCGTAAGTATGAGTAAAAATTGGTCTAGTTTTGAGATCAGAGCATATGATCTTCTCTCCTATAGATAATTGTCTTCCCGTTGAAAACAGGTGCCAAGCATTATGCGAAATATACTGCACTTGGACAGTTTCTGACCAAGCAGAATGGTTATATCGGAGTTGGATGATCCAGAAATCATGTGGAAATAAAACTTACAAAGCTTTACTTGGCTTCTGTAAAACTATACCTCTTATACCGATGTTTGTGTACAAAATGTCACCGGCTCTTTGTCTGGATTTTAATTTTTTGCTGACTTTTCATTTTGCTTTCACATAATGTCATCGCTTTCAAAAGCGTTGAAATTTCAGAAAGAAATATTTGTATTAACTTATTTAGTGGAAAATGGAAATTTCATGTTTTTGATTTAAATGTAATATTTGTTACCTATGACTACTATTCACGGTCTTACGATCGTGCTAAAAATAGTCTTCATATTTGTAAATCTGTTTATATCGTGACCTGATAAAATGTTCCCCTCCCTTATTAACTTCCTTACGCGTTTCAGTCATGTATTTTAGGTAAATATCTTGTCCAGAATTATTTTTCACCGATTTTGAATTTTTGTTTTAAAATCCCTACTAAAGAAATATAATTTGATTCTTGGTTACCATAAGTTTATTTTGAATGATTTTGGATATTGTTCGAGGCAGAGTCATATCTGCAATGTTAACTTGTTATCAAAGTATTAAAAGTACAATTTAGAATAACTAGCTTGGTGCAAGAAAATCTTCCGAAGACTTTAAAAGAAATTTGTGACTATCTAGTGCCTTTCAACTTTTTGTAAAGTGGTAGAAAATTATGGCTAAACAGCCTTCAAAAACTTGTAGCTCAAAAGTTGTTGGATGATTTTAGATTTTGTCAGTTTTTTTTAACAGTGATTTTCTTTAATAGCATAACATTGGAGGTGATGACTCTCAACCCAAGATGTGAAAAGGTGGAGACAGCGCAGGGTGTTGCTGTGACTGTGACAGGTGTTGCTCAAGTAAAAGTCATGACAGAACCTGAACTTCTCAAGACAGCCTGTGAACAGTTTCTGGGAAGAACAACCAGTCAAATTGAAAACATTATCCTTCAAACACTGGAGGGACATCTCCGAGCCATTCTTGGTACTTTGTCTGTGGAGGAGATTTACAAAGGTATGAGGCCAAATTTTTTTACTGACAGAGTGTAAACTTGGTCTTTCCTTAGGTCTGATTAAGAGACCTTGAAGTGGTTACAGAAAATCTTAGGGTGTTACAGTGATGTATTGTGCTGTGTATCGTTTAGGTTTAGAGTATTTCAAGGATGATCTCTCTTTCAAATTAATTACCCTCAGACTTTCAGACATTACAATGTGTCACATTGTAGTTACATCTACCAAAGATACAGATGATGAAAATACAGAGAAAAAATATTATTATGGGATATAGCCTTGATACATTGTCAAATTCTCAAAGCTAAGGTACAAGCTGTGTATGGCAACCAGTAATGGAGATCTTGTAGTCAGATCTTAGGATTGAAAGGACTGTTGACATCAATTATAGCCTGTTGTTGATGTCACTCTTTTTTTTTAAATTTTTTTTTATAATTTTTTTTTAAAAGATCGTGAAGCATTTGCTGCCCTGGTACGTGAAGTGGCTTCTCCTGATGTAGGAAGGATGGGCATTGAAATCCTCAGCTTCACCATCAAGGACATTGAGGATCATGTTGATTATCTAGACTCATTGGGTAAAACTCAGACAGCCAAAGTGAAGAGGGATGCAGATATAGGAGTGGCTGAATCAAACAGGGATGCAGGAATAAGAGTATGTATTTTACAAATGAAAATTCAACCTACAAGGCCCTTGAACAAAGACTGTTGAAGATTTGTTTGTTTGCCCTTTTGCCAGGTTATAATTTGTTGTATGTGTGTCAATCCGGTCATATTTAACCCTTTCACTACCAGGGGTGATCAACAAGGAATTTCTCTCTATAATGTCCAAAAGCAGAGAGGTAATGAGAAGAAGGAAAATTTTGTATTGTGTGAGTAAAGATCAAGTTCTCAGAACTAGAATTATAAGCAAGATTTGGGAGAGGGTACACTGAATTGATTTTAAGATTGTGGGAGTGAAAGTGTTTAGAAATGGTTTGATTAGCAAGTCTTGGAAATACTTTTAAATATGTGGTTTGATAATAAATAAATAATAACTTGTAACTCTTTTGCACAAGGATTAACTCATGGTTAAATTGAATAATTTCTTAAGTTTACAATCCAAATGGCTTTAATTTTCTGGTGACAACGATCCAAAACTTTCTCAAATAAAGAACTTGAAAGTAAAATTGTTGATTTTTTTATCAGGAAGCAGAGTGCGAGAAAGAAAAGATGGATGTAGCTTACCAAGCCCAAACAAATATTGCAGACTCTTCAAGAGAATTTCAGATGCAGAAAGCTGCCTTTGACCAGGAAGTAAATGCCAGAAAAGCTGAAGCAGAACTTTCCTATGAATTGCAGGTAAATTTATAGTTTTCTTACCCGTTGCATGTTCCAGTTGTATAGTGAGTTATCAGTTGCACCAAAATATTGTAGATAAAAAGGCTGGGATTGATTTGAGGAATGGAGGAAACAAGATAGAATCCTTATTGTATATTCATTGCCCATATGTCTCCTTAACTCCTGCGAGTGACTAAGACAAAATTTCTCTTAACAATATGAATGCAATATCAAGCAGTCAAGTGATGAGAATTAGGAAAAATATCAATTAGGAGATTGCCAAATTCCTTGGAATAACGTTATTAGAGTAGTAAGGCAAATAGTTAGAAGAATTATTTGAGAGACCTTGGAAATGAGAGGGTTGGGATCACTTGGAGGGACCCACAATCCAGATTTGGATTTCATTGCACCAATTGTAAATGGGTCAATTTTGAAACACTAGTTGAAAACATGAGTTAAAATAAAAAGTGATCTGAGGTTAAATTTTTTTTTTTTTAAACTTTGTGTTGTATCAAGGCTGCCAAGGAAAAGCAGAAGATCCGAGCTGAAGAAATTCAGATTGATGTTGTGGAGAGAAAGAAGCAAATTGAAGTTGAAGAGAAGGAAGTGGCCAGAAAAGACAAAGAATTAGTTGCTACAGTGAAACGACCCGCTGAAGCTGAGAGTTACAGAGTGGAAACAATTGCACAAGGAAAAAGGTGCTCACATTATTTATTCAAATGTATTCTGTTTTGTTTTCTGATATTTTTATGGTTTGAATTTATTGGAACTTTTGAGTTACAGGTCTCATTACTAGTGCATCAGACAACCTTATAGTTTTTGTAATACTGGAAGAAAATCCCTTAAAGGGATACACTGGATTTTCTAAGTGGTTTCAAGTGCTAATGCTGTCTACCAATCAATTTTGTTGTAGGACACAGACTGTGTTTTCAGCGCAGGCAGATGCAGAGAGGATTAAGGTAACAAAACTTTTGTTATGTTAAAATGCTTACTCATAAACTCAGAAAACCGTGAGCATGAAAAAAAATTGTAGAAGCAATGTTTTTGGCATAAGGAAAAAGCCAATCATAACTGGTGAACCTGAACTGCAAACAGCAGTGGTAATGAGCTTGCAGTTTTTTGGTTTGTTTGTTTTCCCTGAATTTTTATTGCAATTATACACAATCAACCTTTTCGAATGAAATAAAAAAAGTTCGCAGTTTTCCGAGTCTTACAGGAAACTTGCTTTGCATGTGAGCAAACTTGATGGTCTTGCGGCACAATCCTGTTTACAGTTTGTCCACACTATTGGCTAATGCTAATGTCAAACGATAAGCCCTTGTTCATATGCTCACAGAGATGGCAAAATGTTTGCCCTTCTAGATAGCATTTATTTGATTAATTGCTATGGTTCATGGAAAAAATGTAGCATTTATTTTGTAACGTGATGTATCACATTGGTGATATTTTGATTGACAGATGACAGGAAGCTCAGAAGCATCTGCTATTGAAGCTGTTGGTAAAGCTGAGGCAGAGGGTATGAGACAAAAGGCTGCAGCATACAAAATGTATGGAGATGCTGCCTTAACTGCATTGGTCTTGGAGGCTTTGCCAAAGGTAACACCAGCCCTCTTGTTCATCAAAAGTAATTTGATATTCCTTCTTACTGTAAATTTCTGGAAAAGCATTGTGGGGTAACACCTAGTTTTTTTTTCTTATCAACAATTAATTCAAAGTGAAAAGTAGATCATGGTAGGTCAGATATAATATTAGAATCAGTTGTTTCAGTGGTAACCCCTTATGATTACAAATGAAGCAAATATCTTGGCTTTGAAAAAGGGTTTTCATTCGTAAGGTTAACTTTTTAACTTGTATTTGTAAGTGTTATACCTATGTCAGCTTTTAGGGAGAAGACAGGAAGGGGGGGGGGCATGCTGAGGTCAGTGTCTATTTTGAATCAATATGGCCACATGAGGGCAAAGAGGAAGGTGTGACTCAACTGTATTGAAAGACATCTAGGATGAAAAAAAAATTTATTTTGACATAGTTATTTTCATGTTGTGTTACAGGTTGCAGCAGAAGTTGCCGCTCCTCTGGCTAAAACTGACCAAATTGTTCTTGTTGGTGACAGTGGTTCAGGAGTCACAGGTGAAGTGTCCAAACTTGTGAGTGAACTTCCTCCTGCTGTTCAAGCTCTCACTGGAGTGGATTTGAGTGGAGTAAGTATCATCAGCAACTGTACTACAAACTCTGTAATGGTCTTTACATGCTTTTGAAAGGAAATTCTTTAGATTTAGATGATTTGGTTAGTTTGTTCCAACACCTGTAATTTGGAACTGGTGACAAGCAAACAAATCCTGGCCGCTGGTTGTTCAATGGGTGGATAATACTATCCACCAGATAAATCTCTAACCAGTTGATAGCCAAGTATGTTTTGTTAACACTTATCTGTTGGATAGCAATTTACCCCAGGGATAGTGCTATCCAGTCTTTGAACAACCAAGGCCAGGTCTGTGTCAGAGGGGACCAAAAAAGGGTGTTTGTGCATTGATGTTTAAAGTGTTCACTGCTATATTTGGTTTCTTAACAGTTATTTAGGTTTGCAATGTTCCAATACTGCTTAGGATTAGCCACTTGTAGTATTATTTATTGAATAATTACTTGTTTTAATATTACTTTTGTTTTAATCTTTGCAGGTACTGAAGAAGATTCCTGGTGCAAAATAAAATGTTTTGTACTTACCTATTGCTTACTTTTAGAATAGAATAGTTCATAATTACATATAGTCTGGATTTTAACACTTGTCATACTCTTTCTTGCAATAAATCAGTTGATTAACTGTTTATTATTATTATAACGAAAATGCTGGCAGCCTCAAGGGTTTGAATCTAGTTTCATTCTTCTAAGTTAAAGAGAGTGAAATTTGTGCATGATGTTTGGTAGTTTTGTTAGCCACATTCCTCCTTCAATAAGCCCCTCACATATCCAGCATTGCTAAAAAAATTCAATTTTGTATGCATTTATAAGCATTTGGTGTAGCTACAGTGTAATAACTGTCCAAAAGCAGTTTTGCAAGCAATTGCATGGTTTTTAAATTTGTTCATTGGGAGTGTAGATTCCATGTGCAGTGTACCCTAGCATGCCAGTTTCTGGAGGCTTGTAATCTCTTCATTTAACAACCTGATCTAGCCTCTTTAAAGTCTAAGACTTTGATGAAATGAATCTATGAAGGGAAGGTATATTTGACACCAAATAAAACAAGTTTATTGGTGTTTTATAACGTCTTAATACACCATAAGGAATAGACGGTTATGTAAGAGAAGTTTTTCTTCATGTTGCTTGTGGCATGTTTGCTCTCAGCAACAAAAATTTAGATGATGTTGTTAGTAATGTATTACAATTTTTATTTCAGTTGTTATTAGCAAAGGTTTTTGCAAAGTAGTAGTTCCAAGCTGTGCTCACTAGTGATGACAATCACTCACAAAGGCAATACCACTAAGTAGTGATTTTGATATCTCTTCTAATTCATCATTTTCTTTGTTATCATTACAATCGCTGTTGTTATTATTATCATCGTAATGTTGATCATTGGCATCACCATGGTTATCTTTGCCTTGATGAGCTTGTCTTTGTTTAACTTCTGGGAGATGTTACTTAGACTGTTATTGCAGTGAAGGAAGGAACATGCTAATTTGCTTGCTTGTCCATGTTGTTTCATAATGGGCAGCTTAACATTTAGTTTTACTATAGTAAAGAAGTCTGTACCCTTGCATGTAGCACAAAGCTGTATTCCTATAGATATATCATTTTATGAACTAAAGCAAGAGGTGGTGCTTTTAACTAATGCTGAATTTTCAAAATAAGCACTACCCCTTAAGCATAGGTTCTTATCTCATCAGAACATTTGAGCAATGATAAATAATTGTTGAACTATTTAACTTAGCTTGTCAGTTTCATGACGTATACTATTGTGGCAAGTATTTTGGTGGAGCCAAATATATTCACATACTGTGTATTAAATATTTTTGTTTGTGTGTGTGATATATGACCAGTAGGAGGAAATGCTGGGATTTTACTTGCTACACTTGCTTAGAATTTGTATTGTGATGAAATGCACAAGAACATCCAAGCAAATCAGTCCAGTCCATGTTTTTCAGGTCTTATTTCAACTACTAGTTCAATAGTGTTCTTAGCTGCAAGGATCTTGTATGTTTGTTTCTTCACCGCAGTGCACATATATGAATTTCATATATCTAAAATCATTATTCATCACTAGGATGATGTATTTGGACCCAACATATTTGCCAGCTCCGAGTTGGCATGTTAGGTCAGTTGGTAGAGCAGTGCACCAGCATCGCAGAGGTCATGGGTTCAAATCCAGTATGGACCTGAATTTTTTTCAGGTCTTATTTTAACTACTAGTTCAGTAGTATTCTTAGCTGTGAGGATCTCGTATATTTGTTACTTCACTGCAGTGCACATATATGAATTTGATATATCTAAAATCATTTTTCATCACTTGGATGGTTTATTTGGACCCAACATATGGACCAGCTCCCAGTTGGTTTGTTAGCTCAGTTGGTAGAGCACTGCACCGGTATCGCAGAGGTCATGGGTTCAAATCCTGTACAGGCCTTAATTTTTTTCAAGTCTTATTTCAGCTACTAGTTCAGTAGTGTTCGTAGGTGCGAGGATCTCACATTCATTCCTTCATCGCCATGCACATTGATCTTTGTCTTTATTCCCATTACTTTTATGTTTTATTTCACATTAATATCTTAAGGAGAAATTCTGTCTTGATTGCCAATGGTCAAGTTTAGTAATGGGTTTCCTATGCAGGTTGCTGATCAACAGCACTCTCAAAGGCAAAAGTAGCAGAAACATGGGGGACAGGGTGGGGACCTGCCTTCTCTTGTTTTGAAATTATTTACCTAGTGACTTTTTACCTTGGACATTTTGTTATTTTGTGCAGTTGAAAGATGTTATGCCACTTAATTGTTCCTTTTGCTCTATTTGAGAGCTGTATGATGTCACTTTGGCAGATAGATTTCATCTCATGAGTGTAGTGAAGAGTGGTTATAAAGGGAAAAAATGCTGTAGTTCTGAGAAGCAAAAATAGTTAAAAGTACATTTTTTCTTTGTGGCAATGCTTTATTAGCTTGGCATGTTTTAGAACTAGAAGATCTAAATTATGTGCCAGTTAAATAATCTTCAGTCTATCTTTTCATAATGAAAATACATTATAAAATTTACATATTTACATATAAAATTTACATCTAAGAAATTACCACAGCCACACTTATTTGGAAAATGAAAAAAAAAATGCTGTCAATACCTAAAAAAAATTAAAACTTCATTTAGGCAGCATTTCAGATCCTTAGATAAGTGAGAATCAGTGTCAATCTTTCATGTCGACTTCTTGGACCTGCAAGCTTTCTGGGCTCCTGCTTTGAGAGCTAAACTTACTTTAATTATTAATTACAATGATTTAATAAATTAAAGAAGTAAGGTAAGCAAGTTTGGACGACTTTGCACAAAGTGTTCTTTCGCAAATGGATTTGGTATAGATGAATTGAATGTGGAGTTATCCTACATTTTGTATTCTGGTGTCCCCTATGAGTATCTAAAGGGAGGGAAATAGTTTTAAAGAGGAGAGAGAAGAGTAGCCTGGCATCAAACTTATGGTGAAAAGAATGCGGTACATCTCTAATGTTGGTGTAACTCAGGACTTGAGTTAAACACCTCTATAATAGTTGAGTTTCCTCAAGAAGAAGGACTTATGTTTTAAAAAAGAGGCTCTACAACACAAAGGTTAATAACAAGCTGCTGTGTGGAAAATGATCCCATGCTTTTTTCCTTAGATTTGAAGAACAGTCTCTGACAGTATGAAAATCAAGCCTAATATTACACACAGAGTTAATACATCCTTTTATAGTTAAACCTATAGCCAGCCAAGCCAACTGCAAGAATGCATAAACTGAGAAAGATTTTCTTGTTATCTTGGATAGTTTGGATATGATTGTGGTTGAAATTGCTGTTGCTGCATTTGCAGCTGTTGTAGTTGTTGTATCTGCTGTTGAAGTTGTTGCTGTTGCATCATCTGTTGCTGTTGCTGACTCTCACCCCTCTGATTTATTGAAAAGCAAAGGCAATTGATAGAATTGCAATCTGGTAGAGCACAGTTACAAGCACAATTGCAATCACCACACTGCAAGACAAAAAAATGCAAATAAACTTGTTAGAACAGTGCTTACTGTTTGCAACAAAATAATTGTGTGATTATGAATGTAATAACATACAGCGCACTGTGGTCCTTGGCAGTCCTGACACAGTTCACCACCAGGCTCAGCATTCATACAACAACAGAATGTGTTATCACACCACTAAAAGGAAAACAAAAACATCACTTGAAGTAAAAAATGGATCAATCACTGAAAATCTTTACCCACAACTTCCTGACGTCTAAATTTATACCTAAATATCATAATATTTTCCTGAGCTTTGGGAGGAAGTACACTGTTTTAAATTTCACAGCAAATAATTAGAGCTAGAATTGATGGTAATAGATTTAATTTTAATTGTGTCAACTATACAGAAATTTAGATGGTGAGGAATGACTCTACTGACCTGTTTTGAAGGACACACACTGTCTAAACAAGACTTTTTACTTGGGGTAGAACAATCACACATTTCTGCCATTCCCACAAAGCAGGCACAAAGGCAGCATCTCTCTGCATCATTGTCATTTGCACAACATCCACAGCACAGCTCTGATATCCATGTTGGGCAGATACTTATTCCTTGAGACTGTTCATTGAAAAATAATGATTGTATGTAAATTTCAGGTAATTTGAATCATATACAATCTTCATGGTGAGAGATATAGTGACATGGTGGCTAATATACTAGGCTCCCAATTGAGAGATCCTGGTGCTAGTATCGTTGGCTGGGTTACAATCAATATTTCTCTATAACCAAGAGAATAAATAGGCACCAAAGAAACCTGACAAATTCCTAAGGGAGGGAGGGAGGGGGAGGGGCCAGCTGTAATGGGGAAGTATCCAATCCAGTGGGGGGGAAGACTTGTAAGATTCCCAGTCTTTTCACGCCACAAATGGAAACCAAGATAAACTTGAGCAACTTTTAGGCCAAGAGGCTCATAGGACTTTTTGACTCAGTAGCATAGAATCAGAGGAAAATATCACAAGGAGCTGATGAAAACTTGAGGTAAAAACAAGTAAACTACCTGAACCACCATTAAAAGCAACTGAGCTAGTTGCTACTGGTTGAGTTTTGCATCTGATTAATTGAGAAAGTGGTACAAAAGTTCCAGAAAAATGACAGAGTAAAGTAACTCAAAACCAGCACGATCCCTGATTTCTTGCAAAACACAAGTAAAATTACTCTACACACAGTCTAAACCCCCACTGTGGAAGGCCAAATTCCAACACCCCATTGTTGATTGTCGGCACCTCTGAAAACTGCACCTAAGGGGTTCAAAATGTTGTCACCTTCCTTGAGATAATATTCCAACAGACCCTGTCGCAAATTTTGCCTTCCATAGTTAAGGGTGAGGAGGGAATGTAGATAAGAAATCCAGTGTTCCATCCACACACCCGAAATATAATAATTCATTTGAAAGAGCAGTTCTCTGAGGTCAACATTTCGACAATATTTCCGTGTAACTTCATTGCTAAAAGAAAATCGTGGGCGAAATTGAGCCTGTGCCTTTGTTTTAAATGGTACGAGTTATAAGAAAATCTGGTACTTACCTTTAAGCATTGCCTTATTACGAGGACGAGGGTGACAAGCGCTAAGTACGCTCCCACAACGATCATGACAATCGCAGCAGTCGATAGCGCCGGGTCACTGTTTGCTATAGGAGCTGGAGTAGGCTGAGGACGAGACCAAGGAAAAAAAGACACATTGAGGATGCTATCGTTAGATGGGTTTTCTTCTTTGGCTTTATCTAGCGGATTTGATCGGTCTACTCTGACGGAAAATGCGTTTTAAACTAACAATACGTTACATAAATATACTCGTCTATTGAACTGTGCCCGTATGATAGCACATCAAGCTCAGGTATTGCTCGATACTTTGTCTAAAACGGGACTTAAGTAAACTCACGCTCGGCAATAAAGACAATTTATGTGTAGGCCGACAAAGGAACGGCTATTATTCGACGGGATTAACCTCTCTTACCAGCAAACCAGGTTTGTTTAAATGTAAGCTAAGTCTTACACATTTTTACCGCTCAAAATTAAGTTACTGGTACAATTGCAACGAAAACACTGTCGACAAGGTTTACTTACACGGGTCGTTGGAGCCATGATAGATCTTCTATCTACTTTGTTCGTTCTCTTCACCGTTTAAGAAATAAAGTGAAGTATGAAAATCAAGCGAACCATCTTCTCCAGAACTTCTTTCTTTGCCAGTAACCGCGATCAACAAATCCTCTCCACTAAACCAAGAAAAATGTTTTGCAAACAACTCGCTAAAGTGTGCAAACTGTATCAAGGCCACATCTTGCCAGTGACCATCAGGCTGATGCTTGTTAACTTTCACTGTACAATTTATACTTTTTAGCCGCTTTAAGTTCCTCAGGTATAAAACAAAGTCTGAACAAAAAGAAACTTGACATTAAGCTATACACAAAAAGATAGCAACAGTTCAATATTGAAGAGCGTTGTGAGGCCCAGTTCTCTACCTCTGCAGTGGGTTACCTCGTTTTCGCGTGAGTTAACATCTGTATGCATATTCTCCATACTGTTCTCTGTGTGTCTTGAAGTACTGACAGGTAGAATTTATCAATTAAGAGCTCTTTAGTTGGTGACCATTTCCCTTATTATTTTCACTCTGAGATGTTATTGTAAGGAGAAGTTAGATGCTGGTCACTCTTGTCACTTTTCGGGATCAAATGCTTAACAGTGTCTAGGTTAGACTTACAAACGGGTAGTGGCCGTGTTCAGCAGGGAATTCAAAATGGAAGCAAAGGATGAAGTAACATGATTTTTTGCTAAAAGGGCAAAATAAATCAATAAAATGTGCGAAAATACGCGACATATGAAATAATCCACGTGAACTGTGACTATTCAGAGAAGCCGTGATCAGTGTGCTCGTCACCTTACGGGTTTTCTCTGACACTTAAGGATTTCCAACCTGATCAACTGATGCCTTGTTTCTGTTTCCAAGTTGTCAAAAAAATTTGGATTATGTACGGATTTTGAGGCGAAACAATTGGATTGTGAGGTCGCAAAAGTTTAGGATATCGGACGGATGAGTCCAAAATATAACGACTGTGCCTGGCATCGGACAGAAGTGTACAAAGATGGTAGTGTCCAAAATAAGACAAACAGGTCCGAATTCGGACACATCCATCTGATTTTCGACACCTTTGTTCAATATTCGGACTCTGTCGTCCCATTTCGAACAATACCGTCCAATTTCGGACTCTATCGTTTCGTTTGGGACAACAGTCAAATTTCTTGCTCTACCGTCCCGTTTTAGACACAACCCTTCCGATTTCTAAAATAGTCCAAAAACAAGAGAACAACTACTTGCCCGCCTCATCAAATTCACGTTTAAAGCTACTTTTATTAAAAGTTAACTTTCTAAAAGTTACACTACAATCTATGATTCAAAGAAGGTAAAAATTTCTTAAATAAATAGATAAATAAATATAAACAACTGATACAGTTGCTCGATACTACACATTTGTAAATTTGTTATCCTTTTCTACAATTAAATAAACGAAAATATCACGCACCAATGGTACAAGGTATATTAGCTACTCGAAATTTTTTAATGCTCTCAGAATCACAACTTGGCCGGCTTTGTTCGCAAATACGGGAAATTGGATGTTGCCTCTTTGCCAAAATTTCAAAATTGATCATATGCATGAATTCTTGTTGAACTTTTCCGATCGTTTAAAATTTCGTAAATGGTAATCATGTCAGCATTAATTTTCTTTCGTAGTTTTGATCCAGTATGGAGCGAGTGGTAGGGTATTTAAATAAATAGATAAGTAGAGGAACAAATAAATAATTCAATAAATAAATATTTACATGTATAGATAAACCTAGGAAATATATCAACGTTTTACTCTACATTACGAGACGAACGATTAAGCGTTCATTTATCTACAAAATTACGATGAACGACAACATTTTCTATACCATAAACCAAGGAAAATTTAAAAGTATATAAATAGCTGTGGTGTTTATCTGTTGAGTCTCACAGCTTTGAGTAAAAGCGATAAACTGAGCAACTCTTCACGGCCCGTTTAACTTCAGTCCGTAAAATGTTTCCACAAACTGCTGATTTACAATGTTTTATGATAAATCTTGGAATTCTGAGTTAATCAAGATACATCCACATGCCCGTTTGAATCTTTCAATGGATAGACAATTGTCACATTGTAGAAAATCTTTTTGTTTCGTGTCCAACTGTATGAATTATCAAAACGAAGAATATCTGAAAGAGAATTCAAATGATTAACCTTGGTTGAAGAAGCAACAGGAATGGTTCTGCAATAAAAAATAAAACAGATATGGGCGACCATGTCACTTGAGAAAGTTTCAATTTTCTTTGTCATCAAATTCTCCTGAAGAGAAACGCTTTAGTGTCTTTAACACATTTTAGAAAAGTAGGATTGCGTTGGTTTAGCTTTTATGCACTTTTTGATTAAGTGTCATTAGACCAAAATGAAAGTAATTTGGATAAAATACCCTGAGGAACCAATACAACGAAAACTCGTGGAGAAAAAAAAGCAAACCGCGTAAAGCGCGGGAAAACGCGGACGACCAAGTCGTGATTGGCGCTGGCTAGATATTGTAACCTTGATAATCTCTTGATACTAGTTTTGCATCTTAATGGTTGGGAGGGTGGGGGGGAGTTTTTACCAATGGGTTTCCTTAGGTTTTTCTTTACTGTGCGCCACACTCTAAATGAATCAAAGTAAAATTAAACAAATTGCAACTCGGTCTCTCACAGTTTGCCGCACTTTAGGAAGTTCCTTTGTTTATATTTTGAGTTCTCAACGACTCGTTGAGATATATTCCGATTGTTCTGATTCACTATTGTGATTGCTTTGGTTTAACGACACATAGAAGTAATGCACTCCAACCAATAAGTACTCGAAGTGATACAAAAAGGAATGCCTGAAATGTTTAGACTACAAGTAGTCCTTCCTTTTCAGCGAAGTACGTTGGGCGAGTCAGAAAAAAATTCAGCGGAAAAAATTTGATTTAGCGCGTCGAAAAAGTAGGAAAACTGCTCGTACTTGATAAAGTTTTTGGTCTCATTGCCTAAAGCACTTACAAATGCCTGGTTTCTCACAGAGAAGAGAACCTTCCTCTTGAACCAAGTGACAGTTCCGTCTTTCTGTTGGAATCTGAAGAAATAAAAAATTTTTTAATCTTCTATTCCTCCTATAAGGCAGCTAACATAATTTGTTGGGAGGATACGGCATATTCATTGGGTAGAGTACTAGTAATACAGTAGCGAGGTACCACAAAAGCAATTTTTACACTCCTCCCTCTCTTCATCAGGAGACTTTGTTTTCCTTCGTTTATTGCCCCCCCCCCCCAGTATATAGAAAATACTTATGGATCTTTGAGATGTATAAACATTAACACAACACCGGTTGCTACGTTCCCCACTCGTAGCAAAAAGTGCATGGCTCTTTTAACGATGCAGGAGACAGGGCCTACGGCTTATCATCCTTATCCGAGAGACGTATCGTTTGCCAAACTCTTTGATTCTTTGTGTATTAAAGGATTTGATTTTTCTGATGGCCTTTCCTTATATCCATCGTGGGACATCGTCCTCGAGCATCTGTTGGGTGCTCCAATCATCCATGTAACAGTAGGTATATTTTAAAAAACTAACACCTTAATGCATCGTTCAATACAATCAACTAGAATCTGCATTTATCCTCTACAAAATTTCGTTTTGTGGCTCCTTGCGACGGCTTGGTTGAGTTAAATGAACCAAAAAAAAAAGATTCACAGTAAATTCTCACCTTTTCTTCCAAATCTTTGGAATGTTTACTGCCTTTTTCTGAATAGAAGACACCAAATCCAATGTCATGGTCCACAGACTTGTACTGCCAACTACAAGACACACAACATTAACAAAACTGTGAACCTAAAGTTTCTTTTTTCGTAAATACTGCGTGCCAAAGATGGGGAAAATGGGAAACCCGCAAAGGGGGGGAAGGGGGCACCTCGAGACAAATGATCCCTCGGGTTCCTCCCATGAAGTAGATCCCTCCATATGATATGTTCCCTCGTTATTCCTTGAGAGATGAGTTCCCCTAGGGATTGATACTGTGTTATCGCTCTGGCGAAGGGCTAACACTCGAAACGTCAGCTTTTTTACCCTTTACGATAGCCAATTTACGTTTTCAACTCAGTTGTCAACACTAAATTACCTGCTATACTTTCCCACCGACACAGCACCACAGTTTCTTTAGAAACTTACCCCCTTTATTTATATGACAAGAGGCCAGGGATTAAAATAGGTACTTGAAAGGTGCATGTGGCTAGTGCTTGACTGTTAAAGATAACACTATTCATTCCCTTGCACTTTACACATTTAAATAAAATAGGCCGTTTGGTACACACTGAAATAAAGAACAAACAAGATTTCTATTCTAAAGTTATATTCTAGTTCAGAGAATCTAACTTTCTGAAATGTGCAAGGGGGGGGGGAGTTAGGTGGGTGGGAAGGGATGGAGGATCTTGCGGTGCTATGATGCCTTCAAATGTACACCATGCATATCAATGAGTATTTTTGAAAATATCATACATTAGAAGAACAACAATTGTATCAGGAAGAGAAGGATGTTGATGAATTTACCTTACTCAACTTGGCAGAAAGATTCAATTAACAATCATATAAGTGAGAAATTATTTTAAGTATCCATGAGATGCATACCTTAGAATACTGCCTGGTGCATCAACTTCAAAGCTTAGTTTCAGAGCAGTTCCTCGCTTGACACATCCAACTTCATACATCTGTTCATCTGTCCAGGTATCAGGTTTGTCACAATCTTTACAGTAATAAGATTCTGGTACGTCACCACCATAACATATCTAGAAACAAGCAAATTAAGAGTTAGTTAACAGAAACACTAAAGTTGATCTCTATAAAATAGCTTTTAAAATTTTAAAGAAGAAAAACTAACTCAGTTTGTAGAAACTGTGACCTCAGTAAGCTGCATGATACAACTCTCATATTTAAGGGGGGCTGAGCTAAAATAAACTCTGACAACCTGAAGTACAAACAGACAACTTTTGTGAAAAGAATAATTTAGACTCTGCAGATGGGAACCCTTGCAGGTTTTAAGATTGGAAACTTTTGGAACCTACCTTTGATCTGCACAATGGATCTCCATCAGGATCTTTGCAGGTGCCTCCATAATATTCTGGCAGATTGTCTTCATCAATATACTCCAGAAGCTCAGTTTTCCAATCTACTATAAATTTTATCACAATTATTATTAGAACCTGCTCTGCAAATGGTTGGTTGGAGTCTACCAGGGTCAGAAAGGCACTTGCAGACAAACAGAGAAATAGCCAGAAATAATAGATGCAGGTAGACAGACCGGCAGGCAGACTGATGAACACAGAGGAAGGCAGATAAACAAAGACAAGCTATCCCACAAGGTGAGCCACAATTTGGTAGTAATCCCTAAAAAACATCTTAAGAATAACCTCTAACAGCCTGACTGGAGAGGAAGACATACTATCCAAAGAACTCTATGTTGGCTACTAAACATGTCCCTTGTGCTTATACAAAATAACTGTGCCTTCCCCTATATTTTAAACAAACAAATGTTGAAACTTCATACCTCCCAGTATTTTTACTTTGTTTCTTGTCACTTCATTAAGAAATGGTTTTACTAAAGCATATGCTATTGGGAATATCCTAGGTGCTGAAATAAAATGAACAAATCCTTTTAACTGCTAGAAAATTTACTTAATTACTAACAGTGTAGCACAAACCTGGAGTGGTCTTTCTAATTTGAATAAGCAATCTTACGAAGTTTCACCAGAGAACTAAATCTCAGGTTTGACCTCTTGAATGAAGTTTTCAACAAGAAATTGGCAAGTGTAAAGGCTGGTTGAATAGTTGAAGAGCAGAACTATAAAGAATCTCTGTTTTACATAAAATTCACAACAAGAGAGGTGAAGAAACTTACCATTAATGACAAGAATATTCTTCATCATTTCTGGGTAGTTATCTTCATAAAATGCTGTAATCTGTGAAAGAAAGTTGCACTTCAGGGTTACTAAAGACATTTATTTACATTTGGGAAATATTTTAGAATAAATTTTCCATTCTTGTTGGTGTTCCACAGCTTAAAAATATAGGAAAATTTAAAATTGTACAGTTTACGCTGCAGCACTAACACAATCTCTGAATATAAAGCTCTAAAGTTAAATACACCATTTTAGCATTTGTAACACACTTTTCAGGAGAAACAGTGCAATAATGAAGCTCTGCTGAAAAGCATGACACCTGAAATAAGGTAAAATATCAAGAACTAAGAAAATGTAAGAAAATGCAAAAATCATACTTACTTTATTGAAAAGCATGACACCTGAAATAAGGTAAAATATCAAGAACTAAGAAAATGTAAGAAAATGCAAAAATCATACTTACTTTATTGAAAAGCGTGACACCTGAAATAAGGTAAAAAATTAGGAACTTAGAAAATACAAAAATAAAATCAAGAGAAAATAACAACTCCAGAGAGATGAGGAAGTTCTCTAGACGGAATGTTTAAAAAGGAAGCACCTCACATGACCTCAGCTGATTTGTGATATGAATGAGGGCTGAATGTCTTGAATATTTTTTCACTACTGGACTACAGAGTAGTTTCATCAATGATATCTTTTCATGTTTGACTATCAATACTATAAATAACAATCTTGAAAATAGAACACGGCCAAAAAAGAAAAAAAAAAAAACCAAGATTTTTTGCAGCAAGTATTAGGCCTATGGAGAAACTGTTGGGCTTTTTGGCTATCACATCTCCCACTTGTTTTTTTTTACATTTACTGCCTGAATTTTGCTCACGAACCTGGCCTCCAAAGATGTTTCAGTCCAAGTCCCTCCATGTCCATCACCATCACAACCTGATCAATGTGTTTACCAAGCTAAGAGACAGACATAGAGTAAAATCAGGGCTCTTAAACAGTCACCAGCAAAACATTTCAACTAATTACCAACCATCTCATTTCACACAGGCTGATCACCAGAAAAGTCTTAACCTGATAAATACTAGAGGATAGACTTTTAAATTCAAACTACTCTGACTCACTGTATTAGGTTTTGATGACATAATGAACCATTTTTGGGTTTAGTTAGGGATTTTTAATGAGTATGTTCAGTTTGCTTGGATTTTTATTAGGAAAAAAGAAAGAGAAAACTATTCATACCTTGGAAGATTGTTGCCTGGATAGGAACAGTGTGTATTCAGCTAAGTAAGCTTTGAATCTGATAATTTCATTTTTCTTTACAGAAGCCAGCAACCCTGAAATAACATATTAATTAGATAATTAGATATCTATAATGTTAGGCTGAAAGTTGAGTTTGATAGCAAAAGAAATACTGTTTATCCAAACTGGTATTGTGTGAGTGTGAAAAAATACAGTGTACCCAAATATCTTGTTAATTTTTGTTCTTTGTTCAACCTTGATACAGATTACTGAATACAGTCATAAAATTTAATAAAATTCTAAGTAAATAACAAGAGAAAAATATACCTCTAAAGTCAATTTGTCCAATTGGATCAATGAAAACTGGAGTGCCCTCTCTATCAAAACCAAAGTGCCCTCCTGGATAATATTTTGACAATACCTGTCAAGAATAATGATTTCTATCTTGGAAAATTGAAGTCATTTAATAATGTTAGCCAAATTTCCCACCCAGCTGCAGATTATGTTGGTTTCCTTGACATGAAGCAGCTAGGAGTATTACTACTTCCCCCTTGATGGGATGCCAGTTCATCACAAGGCTACCCCCCAACATTTCACCAGGCTTCCCTGATAATTTGCCAGGACACTTTTAAGTCCCACAAGTGACCTAAAGAGAATTTCTCCTTACGCTATCAGTACAATATCAAGCAAACAAGTAATGAGAGTAAAGAAAATATCAATTAAGGGATTATTAGTTGATCCAATTCCAAATTCTCCAAACTAACATCATATGAATTGTTTGGCAGACAGTAAGGAGAATTACTAGTGAGATCTTGGGAGTTAAAGAGTTAATACCCGTGGGTGGAGAGAAGCACCATGAGAGTCTAGTGTCCTGCCCATGAACACAACACATTGACCCTGCCAGGTCTGGAACCCAGACCTCTAAACCCGGAATCTAGTGCACTGACCATTTGGCCAATGTGTCTCCTCACCAATGTTATCATAACAATTGTTAAAGACAGTAAGTGTAATTTTGCTGAATGATTTACTACTTAAATTGAATTTAACTGACTTCTGGAACTTTGTAGGTTTCCACCAAAGTGTCAAGCTTCATCTGCCTGCGTACATTCATGCTCTGATGAAAAAAGGGCACCTGTCAATTTACTAACCTAACTAAATTATAATTTTTTATCACTTTCACTGAACAGTTAAATGTCCTAATTAAAAAAATTGAAGTAATTTGAGAACTTTCAATTTTCAGAATTAAGATACATATAAGTGCAGATATCTATAAGCAAAACAATTTATTTCACTTAAAAAAACATCAACCTTTCTTAAGATAACTGTAAACAAATCACTTTCAATATAGGGCTGACCATTGCAAGTTGAAAGACAATTGTCACATAAGAATCTTGTTCATGGCCTTGAGATTGCCAATAAGTTCTTTTCAGATTTAATCCTTCACACACAAACATCAGTATGCATAATCTCTATACTTTGTTCCATAAATTTCCTTAAGTGCTGACAAGGAGAATTTGTTTTACAATCAAAAGCTCCTTTAGTTGGCAATCATTTCCTTTACTCCCGTGATTCAGGGTGACGTTGTAGAGAGAGAAATTAAAAGTAGGTGCCAAACACACTGAGGGGTCAAAGGCTTAGAAAGTTGGCAGAACATCTGACAAGTTTCCTTTGTTCCTTACTCATTACATATGTTATATGACTTTCTTTGACAAAAATTATCTTATCTATCCAGAGCAAATTACAACAAAATGTATTCATCACCTCTCTCAGCATGAATTCTGCTTTTTCTACACTGAAATCTCTTGCTGTCAGTAAAAAATGACAAACAAGTATATTAAGTCTTACTGATGCAGAATGACTTGAAAACTGCAATACTAGTTTAAATCAAACAAACGATAATTTCGAAAATGAATCCTTTTTCTAAGCTTGCATTGTTTGATGTCACAGTATGCAATGATACTGTATTTTGACTTTTCTGGAAAAGTTTCCAAAACTTTCCTTTACATTCTACAGATTTTAACTTGATCCTTTTAACTTTTACAAAATAGTTGTGTCTGACGACAACTTGTGAAGCATGCTTCCTGAACAATTATCACATTAAGTTTGATAAATCATCATCACCATTATCATTATTTCTATGAGAAGAACTATCACAATCTCAACATAATGGAATTGTAATAATCATCTCCAGGAACTGCGCAGAAAATTTTTGAGTGGGGGGGGGGGGGGGCTTTTTTTTGGCTCTGTTATTTTTGTTAAATTATTTTTTGTTTAATTTATTTTAATGATTGCATCCTCTTGGTAGATGTAGCTTTTTAAGAATTCTACACCTACCTCGAAGCCATCTTAACAAAAAGTGATCATCATGATTTGGCTGACAAATATCGCTGACACAAACACGAAACTGGAAAATAGTTAAAAAATGGAAATGATTAGAAAGTGATTCACTATATCAATTGCAGAAGGTAATATAAAACATGTGTCTAGGAAAAGATAACATTATTTCCTATAGTGTTTCTCTGACAGGTACAAATTTATCTGGTAAGATAATATTGACCTAAAATTAAATATTAACAAATCCTAATGATTTAAATGGCAGTTCGTGGTCGCATTTTAAACTTCTCTTAGTCCTTACAGTAGGTTCCTGTGATCCAACTGTTTGCCATTTCCAAAACTGAGTCCATTTTAAATTGACTCATGTTCTTTCAAGCAGATGGTGTCCGATCAAAAGCCAATGAAAGCTAACTTATGCAACAACAACTTGAAACTGTATCATGAATAACACTCTGTAAATGAGTAGAAAAGATTGCTGTTTCATTTTGTGTGTTCTCTGTTTAGTCCTGTCCTATTACAAAATTTTTTTTTATTTGATGAGCTAAATTATACAAGCATCAATTCTTTGCCATGATCTTTTGGAGAACAGACACAGATGATGTTAGTACAAAAGCATTTTTTTATCACATAAAACAAATAGATTCCATGCTGAGGGTCTGAACAGTGATACATCCCAAATGATCTCAAAACATGGTGGGAACATCAGGACACACTCAGCTGCACTTCAGGTGCAAATTTTTGTTCTTACCACATTTTGACATCATCAGTGATCTATTACTACTGCTGGGGCAATGGGGAATCTATTTGTTAAATTTTCTGCAGTCAGTATTTTATTGTTTTATTCTGTTATGAAGCATTACTTTCAGGTTTACAGTATCATTCTTTTTATCCTTTCTTCAACTTACATATCTATATTGAGGCCCCACTAGGGGTTATGGGTATAAAGGATATTTGGGTGAAAAATTAACAGCATACAGGATACTTGAAGAAAAAAATAAACAGATTATGGGATATTCGGAATAGAGATTACAGAGTATCGCACTGGAATTATGGGAGTACAAACCACGGAGTTGAAGGTTTACAGGATATTTAGGCCATAAATTAATAGGATACGGAATGCTCCGACTTCTCAGACCTCTATACTGTAAATAAATATTCTAAATGCGCAGATCATTTATATCTGGACTGTTGAATACAGCTATAAATTGTTAAGTATATATATCAACTAACTTTGTCTAAAATCTCTTGCTGTTCTTGCGTGAGATTGTCCATTGAGGAAACTTCAGGTGCCGCTTCAAAGAAATAACTTAAAAAAAATACATAATGAGCAAATAACAACTAGATCGTGTAAATTTTGGACGACGTAGGTTTTGATCGATTAAAAAATGGATCACATTGAAAGTCATTGCACTGGAAGGGAAACTAAGAAACCTGAGGGCGAATTGAACATTCATATCAAATAGCAAGTAAAACTACCTGACATATATAATGCTACTGAACGAATGAGGGAACATCTAATAAATAACGTTTGACTACGTCAGAAATGACAAGCTGCGAAAATCTGAAAAATTTGCAAATTCCCGATCGATCGAGAGGAAACTGGACTATTTCAGCTCACCTTGAAGTGAAGAGGTTCCTTCTAATTCAGCCAAGTTTTCGCCGTTAGCTTTTGATGGCGAACACACCTGATAACATCAACACAATTGAAGAAAATCTCATCTTTTCGCGATTAATAAAGAACCTTCGAGATAAATTATATAACTAATCTCGAGGGTTTTGATGTCATCCATGCTCCACTGAAAAACAATTGATGGAAACCTCATCCTTCGGTGAAACATTAACAATCTGTTTTTGAGTTAGTTATATAAGTAATTTGGATGTGGGTTACGTGGGTTACCTACGTACATTTAGATTAACTGGGCAGTGATCACAAACGATCAAAAATAACGCCACAAAACCTCATAATATTCTTCTTTGGCAATGACGATCATTTAAATGTATGGGTTTCTTCTATTTAAGAGTGGTAAAAAACAAAACAAAAGTTCATCCTCAGTCCTCCCGGCCTGCAACAAGTCACGTGCGAGGAAATACATTGGCGCCATCTTCAAACAGGAGCGTTCCCAGATTCTCGAACCTTTTCTGTTTATTCACCTTATAATGTTTTAAATGATCTCAGAGATGGAAGCTAACTACAATGAAGAGCTAAATGCTACCAAAGAGCTGCTAAAAGGCCTTAGCATCCACCAGGAGACAACACATGAAGCAGAGGAGGAGAAACAGTACAGACCTTCTATCTCAGGTTATTCGTTTTCATTCAGATAGCTTTGAATTATACGCTTGCATTTTGCTAATTCGTTTTGAAATAATAACGATGGCTAATTTTTCAGGCGATCTAAGCTTATGAATTGCTTGTATTCAATATCCCTCAGGGGGGAGGGGGCATAACGAGCTAATGGTGAGGATCTTTCCAAAAATTAGATATTTTAGATGACAAAAAATCTTCGAACGAAATTAGAGGTTAAGTAGAGCCGTCACCAGTCTAGATTTCAGCAGAACCTCCATGAAAGAAACCCCGTTTTCAAAGCCTCATTTTAAAAAGTAAACACTTTTTAGCACGTGCACAAAGTGACACAACAAAACCGTGTTCTTACCCAAATCCACCATTTCATATTTATAAACATCTTCTGTTTTTCAGATCACTCAGATGATAATGAGGAGGACAAGTTACGGTACAACCGTTTTATCCAAAAAGGCAAAGAGTTAGGAAGACAGGGACACCTTGAACGAGCTCTTCAGTTGTTTGAGAAAGCTTGTGCAATATTTGAATCTGAAAAACTTCTCAGAAGGATTGAAAAAATCAAGGTTAAGTTTCATATGATATGAGGCCTTTCAAAAAAGGTTTCTTGTTTGAGAGTTTTTTTTTTTGCGGGTACAGAGTTTACCACAGATCTTTTGTCTGCACTGTCTTGTTTAGAGTTGATTGGTAGATGTCACAGTGTACCAGAAGTTGTTGTAGTCTTCAGATCAATGTCATTATCTGAGCAACTGAACACCTACCCCTCCCCTAACCCAACATAGATCCTAACCTGTCATCAGTTAACTATTGTTGGGTCAGGGGAGGGGTAGGTGCATACTGACATTGAACCAGTTCTTTTACAGTAGCTGTTTGTTTTTTCAAAATGTCTGTTTGTTGAAAAAAACTTCTGAACATTTGTGACTTAGGAAGCTATAGAAAGGTATAAACAGGAAGAAGATGAAGAAGATGAAGAGGATGATGGAATGTGTGAAGTAGGTGATGGCTTTTCTTTACCAGCTGAGATTTACCAATCTTTGTATCCATATCAACTGGATGGTGTCCTCTGGTTCTGGAATCTTTACCAGAAAGGCATGGGAGGCATTCTTGGTGATGATATGGGGTAAGTACATCATGATCATTTAGCTCCCAATATTTAAATAGTTATTCTCTCTTGTAGCTCCTACATATTCTCTTGTAAATTAGTTCAGAGAAGTTAGTGTTATATCAAGACCACTACCGTCAGCCAATAACATCATCTGTTCTCATTACCTGTTTGATGGATGATGTGATGAAATTGTTAAAAAAAGTTTCATGTTAATCCCTTCTGCAAGTTCCAGGATAAATGTATAAACTGTGTTTCAAGGCTGCTATTATTATCACATGAAATGAAAATAGGAAATTTAATCTGAAACTAATGACAATTATCTTGAATTAATATAATTTAAAGGTCATTAACCCTCCACACCCTAACATCAGTATGCATATTCTCCATACTGTTCTCTATACTTTTCCTAAGGTGCTGACAAAGAGAATTTGTTTAACAATCAAGAGCCTCTTTAGCTGGTGATCATTTCCTTCATTCTCCTGACCTTTATGTGTGATTCAGGGGTGATATTGAAAGAAGAAATTAGATGTTTGTCACTTTTAGGGGTCAAAGGGTTAAGCATTGTCAGTAAGAGATGATAGATCTTGGTATTCATTTTAATTTGCAGACTGGGAAAGACAATTCAAGTGATATCATTCATTGCTGGGATGTTTGATGCAGAGCTTATCAAAAAAGTGTTGATTGTAATGCCAGTGTCAGTGATGCCAAACTGGGAAAAGGAGTTCAGCAAATGGTAGGAAGAAGAGTTATTGTATTACTCATCATCTTATGAACTCATACACCCTAACATCAGTATGCATAATCTCCATACTGTTCTCTATACATTGTCCATGGCACTAAAATGAGAATTTGAATAGTTTAATATTAAAGAGCTTCATTTCCTTTATTGTCATGACCTTTATGGTTGATTCAGGGGTGATACTGTTGTGAGAAACTGGATGCTAGTCACTCTTAAGGAGTTAACCCTTCAACTCCCAAGATCTGATTCTTAATTCTCCTCTCTGGCTGCTACACATTTACTTGTAGAATAGTTACAAGAGTTTGGTGTTAGATCAAGATAAAACCTTCTCCCTGATGAGTTTGAGTATTCTCATTACCTGTTTGCTGGATAATGTATGGATATTATAGAGAGAAGTTACACATTATTCACCTCTGAAAGTTAAAGGGTTAAAGCATTGGGGAAATTCAATCAATAATATCAATGCTAGTCGTGATCAGATTTCCAAACCTTATGATATTCCAAGAACTTAGATGTTACAGGATGAGGTCATATCCCAAAGTGATGGCAAACAAAGCAGTTTTTTCCACACAGATGCAAATTTCATTGGTTTTACAAATTAATCTGAGAATAAAATTATTTATGGTTGGGTATTTAAGATGACTGTATCTACTTTTTGAGGTGATTTGGTTGTTGTAAATTTTTTTTTTTTTTCAAAAAGGGCCCCTGGAATTCGTGTTAGAGCCTTTCATGGGACAAATAAGAAGGAACGCATGCGAAACCTGGAAAAAATACAAAGAAGAAATGGAGTTTGCTTAACTACCTATGGTTTGTTATTTTGGTTTAATTTTTGATACTAGCCAGTCATTGACTGTTTTTTGAGGAAATCTAAGAACTTCAATGATAAAATAGATGTATCTCAATATTGCAGCATGTTCCTGGCTCATTGCAAATGTGGAAAAAATGGGGAAAAAGGGTGAGAGGGGACGGAAAAAACAGCAGGGAACTGGGAAAATTTACAAACGCTCATGGAACCCAATGAACTCTCCGTTTGAGGCTTTTGATTTACGTTTAGAAAGTAATAAAGAGGAATAGAAAATACAAGAATGGAAGAAGTCATTAATTTACCTGATTTAAGGTTTAGAGGGAGATTTTCATAACCATCTCAAGGACATTTCACCTCCAATTTCACAATGACTCTTTTTGACCACAGGTTTAATTGTATCCAGCCATGAATCTTTGGGGGCCTTAACATGGGTAAGTGACAAACCCTCTATTTCCGAAAACCTTTTCTTTAAAATGCTTGATTTATTATTTTGAGAATTTATATCTGCTTTTTGCGGAGTCTGTGTTGTTTGTTTCGTTTTTAGAAGAAGCCCCTGTGATCGTGGTGAAAGATATTCAAATTTTTAGTCTCACTAACCCTGAAAAAAAATTACATTTCATGATAAAATGAGTACTGTTTGCGTGTAATCACTTTCCCTTTCCTTTTTTCCAGGATTACATCATTTTGGACGAAGGACATAAAATCAAAAACACGGCAACGAAGACAGCAAAGAATCTTCGATTGATCCCTGCGAAACATCATTTTATTCTAACAGGGACACCAGTACAAAACAACTTGAGGGTTAGTCGATACATTTGAAATTCAAAACATTTCGGAAAATCTTTTCAGTATGATTATTGTTTTTTGTTTTTGTTTTTGTTTGTTTTTTTTTTTGCGACTCTCGAACACAGAAACGTGACAAAGAATCAAACAGAACACAGGAAAACAGCGCGCGAGACACTAACGTAACAAACAATCAAACAGAACACAGAGAAAACAGTGCGCGAGACACTAACGTAACAAACAATCAAACAGAACACAGAGAAAACAGCGCGCGAGACACTAACGTAACAAACAATCAAACAGGACACAGAGAAAACATTGCGCGAGACACTAACGTAACAAACAATCAAGCTGAACACAGGAAAACAGCGCGCGAGACGCTAACGTAACAAACAATCAAACAGAACACAGAGAAAACAGTGCGCGAGACACCAACGTAACAGACAATCAAACAGAACACAGAGGAAACAGTGCGCAAGACACTAACGTAACAAACAATCAAACAGAACACAGAGAAAACAGTGCGCGAGACACCAACGTAACAAACAATCAAACAGAACACAGAGAAAACAGTGCGCGAGACACTAACGTAACAGACAATCAAACAGAACACAGAGAAAACATTGCGCGAGACACCAACGTAGTAACAAACAGTTAAACAAAACACAGGAAAAACAGTGCGCGAGACACTAACGTAACAAAAAGGAAACAGAGCGAGCAGCGCGCGCGATACTCATGCAACAAAGAGCCAATCAGCGCGCGAGAAGCTTAAAAAATCAACAATCACGAGTCCACAAAGTTTTATTATTATATTCACAGGAGATGTGGGCCTTGTTTGACTTTGCATGTGAAGGGAAGCTACTGGGAACATCACGAACCTTTAAGAAAGAATACGAAGACCCAATCGTGCGGGTTAGTTTACAGAGTTTTCAAGCTGTTAAATGCCATGAGTAGATTTTCATGGGGTGAATCCTTTTGATACGCAGTAATCGCAAGGATGTCAAGTTTTTGAATTGCGCTGATTTCAGGCGAGAGAAAGAGATGCTACAACGTATGAAAAACGCATGGGGATGGAGATGTCGGAAAGTCTTCGTAAACTTATTGAGCCATATTTTCTGCGGCGAACCAAAGCAATGGTTCTAGAGAAGAAAAACAAAAATCCCGATGAAGTTGATGGATCAGAGGAATCAGATAAGGAAAATAAAGAAGGAAGTATCAGAAGGTAATACAATCATAGGTGAATGAGAAAGTGATGGCAAAGCCGTCATGAATGGTCGAGAAGACGGCTCAGGTGATTGGTTAAGGCGATAAAGGGAACATCCACTTCCAACTCCGTTACTCTGGTACCACAGGCCGACCACCTCCATCGGGTGGTCTGCTGTGGTGCCAACTGATTTCCACCCATCACCGGGTCGCGCCTTTTAACAATTTACGTTTTACTTACTCCATTTATTTTTGTGTTTGCAGTCTCCCCAGTCAATACAGAGCTAATAAATGCCTCTAAATTTCTGATAAATTTTAGCGTCTGTGCAACTACGCACCCACCCCTCCCCTAACCCAACAACAGTCACCTGATGACAAGTTAGGGTTAATTTTGGGTTAGTCTTAGGTTATTTATTTAGGCCTGGGAGCCTGGATCTGGGGACGAGGGTACTTAAATTCATCACCAGCCGCATGGGGAACTACTCTGAGAGGCTTTCTGCAATAAACTCTGTCACTTAGAGTGATCATTGCCTTATCTGTGTTCTCTTTAATTTATAGAATGCCTAAGGAGTTAACCAGGAAAAACGACTTTGTTGTCTGGCTCTACATGTCCGAAAGTCAAATCAAAATCTACAGTGACTTTTTAGGACTGGAAAGAGTGAAAGAGGTATGCATTTCAGATATATGATGGTTAAAAGAATTATCTGCCAAGTTTTCCAGTAAGATAATTACTAGTAAAAAAATCTCTCATCACCTAGTCAATTAAGCGCTAAATTATCCATAAAATTAGCAAAAATTTGACAATAACGACCTCGACCTGAAGTCGGAAAAACGTAAACCAAATACAGAAAAATTGGCATAAAGCGGAACGAATGAACAAAGTAAGATAATTGAAATAGTTTCCATTCGTGTAAAATTAAACATTTTTCAGGTTTAATTTAATTTTTGCAAAATGTCATACTGGTCAGAGATCACTTTTTTCTTGAAAGTTAACGAAAATGACTAACATTGCCGACTGATACTGCTGTTACATACACTGTTTAACTCGTCAAACAGCTTGATTTTATTTTTGAATAAACGATATGAAGGGAGATTGTGTATTGGTATTATATTTTTAGCTGTTAATGAGCACTCGTTCCCCATTGGCTGAGTTGAATGTGCTGAAGAAGATCTGTGATCATCCTCGACTGTTATCTACTCTGGCTTGTGAGCAGCTCGGCTTGGATGAACAGGCCAGGTTTGTTCTCCAATTTTAAAGTAACTTATTACCGCTGTTAAAAAAAGTCCCTATATGTACAGTGAAAAAGGGCTTCCGAGCTGGCCTCATGTAAAAGTCGTTCACTCTCCCAAAACAAAATCTTGAAAAATAAAATGGTAGAGAAGGAGTTGAGTGTAACAGTCAACAACAGACAGTTACATAAGAAAACAAAACTACCAAAAAGACGCTTGTTTTCATAGATGTTACAAGACATTTTGTGAAACAAGACTGATGCATGTTTGTGAAAATATCGTTATGCGTAGTACCCAGTGCAGTTTTTTTTTTCTCCCAGTTCCCAGGAGGTGGGCGCGCAATGAAGTTAACTTTTAATAAAGGCTTTGAAAGCTTGTGCATTAAAAAATGTTTACCTATCTTTGTACACCGACTTCACTACGCAAACGTCAAATTTGTTTTATTCTATGAATTACACTCAAGCTTTACATTTCAGACTGGTGGAAATGGACGCTGATGAAGACGATTCCAGATCATTTGCCACTCAACCAAAAGGCCTGGGGCCCTCAGACAAGGTGCTGACACAGGAGTCAGGGAAAATGGTGTTCTTGGTGTCCCTGTTGGACAATCTCAAGGCTGAGGGCCACAGGTGTCTGGTGTTCAGTCAATCAAGAAAGATGCTGGACATTGTTCAACGGGTTATCACTCATAGGGTAGGTCGGGAAAATTGCTGTGCATGTTTTCTTTAGTTTAGTTTTCTTGAACCAAGGTGTGGCTACTCAAGTTAGAAAAAAACGGGGATACATAGTATATTCAAGGTATTTTATATCTTGTTTTTCTGCTTTCAGTTTCTATTTCATTTTGCTTTAATAAGGGGACACGTAAACCAAATTTGACGTTGGCGAACAAGCTTAATCTTTCTTAATTCTACCTGTTCCTGTTGAAGTTAAATAAATTCTGCTGATGCTTTTTATATCTTGGCTGTCAATCGCTCTTTAAGTTTTTTTTTTTCCAAGTTCAAAACGTTATGGATTTGCAGAAGGATCAAAGTGTAGAAACCTCTTTGACACAATCACCATCGGGCTGCACAGAGTTTATTGCATGAGGCAACTTTACAATCTTTGACGAATACGACTACGAAATCTATATTTCCCAGCTGAGAAACAGTAATCGTGCGCGAACCTGCGTCGGCGGGAAAAACGCGGGAACCCTCAACATTTTGGGTCAAATTTTGCTGACGATGATTTGGCAAACTATGTTCATTATTAAGGCTATAATAAAGCTTTACGGGATATTAGCGTCCTAAATATTTCCCTTAAAATTGGAATTCAACTGCACTTGTAGTCAAACTTGTCCTTAAGGTCTGGGTACTAAAAATAAGTCTTAATAACATATGTGATCCCAGTTACAAATTGTTACAAACATTGAGGTATTTTATCCTCAGGGACACAAGGTTATTCGTATCGACGGCACGATAACAAGTACAGCTGAACGGCAGCATCTTATCAACACATTCCAGACTGATTCGTCTTACACATGCTTCCTTCTCACAACACAGGTCTGTGGAGTATGCTCAGATTTCAGATACCTGCATCAGTTTTCGGACGGAAACACCAATCCCGGATACTTGTGTCCGTTTTTGGACACTTCTGGTCAATTTTAAACACTACTGTCCGATTTAAAATACCAGTGTCCGATTTTAGACACAAATATCCCATTTTAGACACTAGTGTCAGATTTCAAGCACTTGTGTCCGCTTTTAGAAACATTTTAGATACAAGTGTCCATTTCTGGACACTAGTGCCCGATTTTGAAGAATAGCCTCCGATTTTGGACAGTAGTGTCCGCTTTTAGAGACTAGTGTCCAAGTTTAGACATTGGTGTTCGATTTAGACACTAGTATCCGAATTTAGATACTAGTGTCCGATTTTAGATGTTAGCGTCTTATTTTGGACATAAGTATACAATTATGGACACTAGTGTCTGATCATTTTAGACTCCAGTGTTCGATTTTGGACGCTAGAATCCGAATTTGGACACAATTTTCCATTTTGAGTCGCAAAGCTTCGTCGGGGTCTAATGTACTAACGCTTTAAAAGTCTGCTTTTTAAACTTCTATTGATCAACTTTTATTTATATCCTAAAATATTTAAAATATTTCAACTGCTCCTTTTCTGCAGGTCGGTGGCGTTGGAATAACACTGACCTCTGCCGATCGTGTGGTTATCTGTGAGTATTCGACGTTTGTGCCAAGACTTCAAAGTGATTCCGAATCGATTATCCGCCAAATAGTTCGGTGTAAAAATGTTTAGATGTAGCGTTAAACAGTAGACCTTGGTATGATTATCTAGGGAATGAACTATTGAACCGATCCAGTTCTGACATTTTGAAATTCAGCGTAAGACAGAGGAATCAACCCCCACAAACTCTGGTGTCTACTTCTCGGACTCGCTTTGACACTTTGTTGTTTCACGCCAAATTTTTAAATCTTCAAATTAGACACACGGTATTTCAAAACAAATCCGTTCAAACATGGCGCATTATTGACAAATAATTCTTGTTTCCTCAGTTGACCCGAGCTGGAATCCCGCCTCAGATGCCCAAGCCGTAGACAGGTACAATACTAGGGGTTTTTTTTTTTGGGAAGGTTTTTCTTTAGGGAAGGGGGGAGGGGTGGGGGGGGGGTAAAGTGCGATTTATCGAGGGAATGAGCCGATTAGTTTTAGACATATTTCCACCTCAGGGAGGTGTCTGTTTTAGAGGGTGAATGATCAAGGAGTTACTGTTGTGACGGGAATTGCATTATTTTTGAACCAGGGGAAATTGATTTATTCCGTTGTACAAACGTATTGTAAAAAAAACCTGAAATTCATCAAGGTGAGGACTTAGTCAATCACAAACTTTTGATAAGTTTTCATGTTCAGTGGAAACTTGTCCCAAGTAGTGTATAGATTGTCAAGGTTTAATGTAACCTAATGTTACAGCACTCAGTGTTTTGGCCGAAAGAAAAGATTAAAAGATATGATCTGGTGTCTTTTTGTAAACAGAGTTTACAGAATTGGACAGAAAAAGACTGTTGTTATTTACCGGCTAATCACATGTGGAACACTTGAAGAGAAGATTTACCGCAAGCAGATCTTCAAAGATGCTCTGATGAAGCAGACCACAGGCTTGTCCAAGAATCCCTTCAGGTAAAACCAAAGAGATCGTTTTATCTTTCGTGGGGAATTCCAGCTGGTCATGTGTTTGTTCTACTCGATTATTAGTTGACATACTGTTTCGTGCTCTTTTCGAGCTCTTTTTTTTTCTGCGTTCTGTTTGATTGTTTGTTACGTTAGTATCTCGTGCAATGTTTTCTCTGTGTTCTACTTAACTGTTTGTTACGTTAGTCTCGCGCATTGTTTTGTATGTGTTCTGTTTGTTTGTTACGTTAGTATACAGCGCACTGTTTTCACTGTGTTTGATTGTATGTTACATTAGTGACTTTTCTCTGTGTTCTGTTTGACTGTTTTTCACGTTAGAGTCTCGCGTACTGTTTCGTATGTGTTCTGTTTTGTTGTTTGTTGCCTTAGTCTTAACGCATTGTTTAGAATGTGTTCTGTTTGAGTCTTTGTCGCGTTTGTGTCTCTTTCACTGTTTTATTTGTGTTCTGTTTGATTCTTTGTCGCGCCAGTGTCTCGCACACTGTTTTGTATGTGTTCTGTTTGATTGTTTGTCGCGTTAGTACCTCGCGCACTGTTTTGTATGTGTTCTGTTTCATTGTTTGTCACGTTAGTGCCTCGCGCACTGTTTTGTGTGTTCTGTTTGATTGTTTGTTACGTTAGTGTCTCGCGCATTGTTTTGTATGTGTTCTGTTTGATTATTTGTCATGTTAGTGTCTCGCTCACTGTTTCGTATGTTTTGTTGTTTGTTGCTGTGTGTTCTGTTTGATTGTTTGTCACGTGTCTCACGCACTGTTTTTTGTGTTCTGTTTAATTGTTTGTCGCGTTAGTGTTTCACGCACTGTTTTGTATGTGTTCTGTTTGATTGTTTGTCGCATTAGTTTCTCGTGCACTGTTTTGTATGTGTTCTGTTTGATTGTTTGTCACGTTAATGTCTCGCGCACTGTTTTCTCTGTGTTCTGTTTGATTGTTTAACGCGTTAGTGTCTCGCGTACTGTTTTGTATGTGTTCTGTTCCATTGTTTGTCGCGTTAGTGTCTCGCGCACTGTTTTCTCTGTGTTCTCTTTAATTGTTTGTCGCGTTAATGTTTTGCGCACTGTTTTGTCTGTGTTCTGTTTCACTGTTTGCCACGTCAGTGCCTCGCGCACTGTTTTGTATAAGTTCTGTTTGATTGTTTGTTACCTAGGTGTCTCGCACACTGTTTTGTATGTGCTCTGTTTGATTGTTTGTCACGTTAGTGTCTCGGGCACTGTTTTGTATGTGTTCTGTTTGATTGTTTGTCGTGTTAGTGCCCCTGGCACTGTTTTGTATGTGTTCTGTTTGATTCTTTATCGCATTAGTGTCTCGTGCACTGTTTTCTCTGTGTTCTGTTTGATTGTTGCTCGCGTTAGTGTCTCGCGCACTGTTTTGTATGTGTTTTGATTGACTGTTTGTTGCGTTAGTTTCTCGCGCACTGTTTTCTCTGTTCTGTTTGATTGTTCGTCACGTTAGTGTCTTGCGCACTGTTTTGTTTATGTTCTGTTGATTGTATGTCACGTTAATGCCTCGCGCGCTGTTTTGTATGTGCTTTTTGTTACGTTAGTGTCTCGCGCACTGTTTTGTATGTGTTCTGTTTGATTGTTTGTCACGTTAGTGTCTCGCGCACTGTTTTGTATGTGTTCTGTTGACTGTTTGTTACGTTAGTGTCTCGCGCACTGTTTTGTATGTGTTCTGTTTGATTGTTTGTCACGTAAGTGACTTATGCACTGGTTTCATTGTGTTTTGTTTGATTGTTAATATGGACAATTTCATACCCCTACCCCAGTGCGACATTTGATTTGTTTTTTTCTCGCTATAGTGGACACTCAAATACTTCGTCCACGATCCTGACTCACATAATATAAATCGACATTACGATAAAGGAAAGTAAAGAAACCATTCTTGAATAGGCTGCGGTCGGATCTTTTTATGGTTCATGAGGCCACCTTAGAAACTTCATCTTTTTTGCAGTTACATATTATTTCATATGTTTAGAGACAAATCAATTAATTTTTCTCTCGTACCCCCGCTGTTACGGACTCTCGCTATTACGGACACTAAATCATCTCCCCCCCCCCTCTTCTGCGGGTTTCCGCAATAACGGGAGTTGACTGTATTATTTTGCATCGTTTAAGATCAGAACCATTACATTGCCTGTACTGGGTGACAAAGCAGGGCAAGAACCAAACTATAATCTATAGTTTGAATTGGTTTTTCACTTTTTTCGCTCCTAATGAGCCCTCAGGGTCCCGGCTGTCATTGCCGGCTTGAACATGACTTTCTCAATTCCGTTTGTCATCATAACTTCTCCATTCAAGGAGGTTTTGTCATTTATTATTGCTTACTCTGTCTTGAACGAGGGAAAAAGTACCTTAAATCTAAAAATGACTTCATCTTACAGGTATTTCAGTCACCAAGAGTTACGTGACTTGTTCACACTGGAAGATCCTCATCATTCAAAAACGCAACTACAGCTTGATCAGATGCACTCGAAACACAGGAAAACTGACAATGAACTGGAAAAACATATCAAGTTTTTACACACCTTAAGTGAGTAACTGAAAGGAAACGATTCCTCGTAGATACTAGTTAACTATTCCACCTTAAAAACGTTTCATGAAATTTAGACCGTTTACCGACTCTCTTTATAAAGATCTCTCATTCACTAACAATACATGCACGGTGGCAATTTTGACGGGCATGAATTGGGGCATGTCAAATCTGTAGCATCTACTTTGGAGTGTGGGATCTGGGTTCTCTAGCAATGGAGGTCGTTTTACGTGAATTGTCGGGCCAGCTACGTTCCTTGAATTTGTCTCTTCTGAATTGTGAACGTCATTTGCTATTTTATCATTATTTTTTCAATGTCCTTGATCTCTTTCTTTGAAAGAATTGAGAAATTATTTAGCCCGTGGATTAGGGAACAAATAGTGCCCCATTTAAGGGGAGTAACAGTTTACTTTCAGCCATTACCTTCATTGAATTTTAATAAAGTGTTGCCTTTCTACAGACATATTCGGTATTTCTGACCATGATCTGATGTATTCCCATGAAGATGTGGAAACAGCTGATGAACATTCAGTACCAGACAGGGAGGCCATCCAAGCCAGAGTAAGTTATCCCGCTGTTTAATCTCGTCATATCAACTACCCGCTTAGTTTCTTTAATATTAAGACTTCGACAAATCCCCTTTTCTTATACGTTGAGGCTGTTAATCTCTTTCCCAGCCGTGGTTGGGATGTCACGCAACGCTTTGGGGGGGAGGGGTGGGAAGGGGAAAGCATATTACTTAATGATAAACCAAACACATGGTACGAGGGAGACTACGAAAGCAGATCTGATGTTAGATTTTTCTCTCCTTAAGAAAAATATTTTAAAGAATACATAGTGATATTTTTCTCAGCCTGAAAGTCCCAGAGGGCTCTTCAAATGTCCCTCCATTAATACTTTTAGGCGGATTTTACCACTTGCACTGTTTTATTTTTGCACTTTTTTTTAGGTTCTCCGAGCCCAGAATTTAGTTGCAGCTGAATCAGGATTTTCAGGACAAACTCGACCCGGTACCTTATATCCCCCATCGGGGGTCCCCAGCACCTGCCCCCGAAAGATCTCAGATAACCAGGAAAGAATGGTCATACCCCAGGGACTACGGCATTCTCTTCCTTCGAGTGAAAATACCATGACTGCCCGGCAAAAAATACAGGCGAAAATTGACAGTGAGGTGTTCATTATACCCAAACGCGACGACACGAAGAGATTTCAGCCAAGTCAGGTTTGTGAACTATACTCAAAGTTATTTGCCTTTATTAACCGAGTTGATAATGTAAATTGGCCCCCGTCAATATTTTCCACAGCTGACATTTCGAGTGTTAGCCCCTTCGTCGACTTTAGAAACTCTCTACAGTGGCCAGTTTACATCATCAACTCCTGTGATAAAACCAAATCATCTTATAACACACCCACTGATACAGCATCTTTACAACCTTATCCTCTATACTCGGAGTGGTTTGCATGTGATTGTTGCGACAACATCGATCTATTAGAGCTTTTAAGCCTTAAGCTTAGTCTCTGTTTTCAAAAGGCAATCAGAAGTTGTGAAATATTTTCATTTTGAATGATATTTGTCGAATGATCGAATGATGGCTTTTAAAAAAACATGTGGTGAACCGCACACATTGCTTCTAAGATGATTTTTTAATATTTTTCTTTTTGACCGGTTTTATTCGATTTGTTTTCATTTACTTTTGTCTGTATGCTGTCGAACCTCTCGTTACGGACACCTCTCTAAAACAGACATTTTGCTCTGTCCCTTCGGTTCACGGTTTACCCTTGAAGAGAGGCTTGTAAGAGAGAATTTTGTAATTTTGTCTTTCACAGTTGCGATGTAAACTGAATAGCTGACTTCCTCTTTTCTTCCCACCAGGATTCAAGATCAGCACAGAATTCATCACCAGTCCTCATAGATCTTTGTTCTCCTGCAGCTCCTAAGGAGAGTTCTCCCCCTCCTGAAATGTATGCTGGGAGTATTATACACAACAGTTTCGTTTGTATTCATTTTGTTAATAGTCAACTGGAATATTTCAATAGTTTGTTTGGGCGTAATTGTGAAACTTAAACGGTTTTCGGGGATAAACTTAACGGGACTAAGTCGCTCTACGTGGAACTCGTTTCTTTTAAGAAGAAAGCTGACCTGTAACCGAGGGAAACTTTAAAGTACTTTAATAGTTCTATATTTTAGATGATTACCATAGAGGTAAGAATAAATCCAAAAGGTGCAGGTATTGACTGCTTGGTGATTTTGGAATATCAGTCCGTCAGTGTTACGGCCGTATTTCCAGAGGGTGCCATTTTGCCCCCCGCTTGTTAGCTTTACCAAAAAAGGGCCAAAATATGATTGGTTAAAAAATTATGACTTCACGGAAATCGTTTGGGATCGCAGACGTTTTTTCGCGGGCTGGCAGAAGCGTTGATGGGAAGTACGTCTATCACGCTGGTTATTAAAATATATCAATTGTGTGATATATTACCTGATGAATTAAGTTTCTCTCCGTTAGTATCGATGTCTCACCTGCTGTGTTGAAGAAGAACAGACGGAAAAGTATGAGTCAGAGGATTGAACTTCCGGTGATCGATGATGATGATGATGTTGATGAGGATGATGAAGAGCTAAAGGAACACGAGAGCTCACAAGATGACAACAACGACATAGATGAAGATCACGAGGAATTGGAAGGCTCTGTGCCGAGCCAGTGTCCCTCAGGGGAACATGTGTCTGATGCCATCAAGATACACAAGTGTGCATGTGTGATCAGCTCATCAGAGAGAGAGAAGTACGACTTGTGTCTCGTCAATGGAAGGTTTGTGCTGTTTGATATGATTCTTTATCATTCTAAAAACTTGCCGGAGTTAGGTTATTTTAACTCGGGTAATATTCGTGCAACTCGGATTTAACTCGGGTAATGTTCGTGAAACTCGGATTTAACTCTGATGATGTTTTTGCAACTCAATTTAACTCGGGTGACGTTCGTGCTTTTTGTTAGTAGCTTATTGGATTACGATGTGCTATAAGAACGAGAAATGACAGAAAATCACGATGCGAAGACTCAAAGGAGACTGGGCGCGCAATGATAATTGGGTAGCTCGCCTCAGTCCTCTTGGTATTTTTCTTTCATTTACAGACAACTGGAACTAGAAGGCAAGGTACAGGAGGCTGCTATGCTCTATATGGACGCCTTAGAATTGATGGACAGTGATTATTCTGTACATGTCAAAGTTCTGGAGCTGGCTGAGCAAATGAATTTCCAACCTCCGTTGATTGAAACAGCATAGCTTTTGATGAAGAATGCTCGATTACAGTTGGGTTAATATATCGCAACTGGTTAAAAGAGGCAATAAAGCTAAATTATTTAAAATTTAATTTTTTTTTGAAATTTTAAAATAAAAGGGAAGAAAAAAAGTGAGCAGACTATTAGAAATGTAATTAAGCTATTCTGAAAGATGAATTTGCATGTGCCGTTATGCTTCCATCTCGTGATTCTTCATGGTTCCGCAAATCTGTGCAACTATTCCCACTGAAAACAAGTAAAGGAAAGAAGGATTGTTTAGCTATACTGCCGACCATGTAAGTTTACGCGAGGAAATTCGTTGTATAAGTATTCGTATAAAATTTACAAATTGGTTGAAAACATTCCTTCAGATTTAAAGTAAGACAATGATATATCTTTACTCAAATGAAATTATTAAAAATTTTGGGTCAATTTTTTGTAATATTTCTTTTAACTTCTTTGCTGATTGTTTATGTGTAGTGTTTGTATTTAAGCGAAGGATAGTGTCTGACTTTAACCACTTACAACCGCTTTCGGACATTACCGTCCACTTCCGGACGGTAACGTCCAATTTCGGACAAAAGCGTCTACTTTCGGAGATTTTTTTTGTACCGACTTTCAAATTTTATCGAAAACCGTTCCATTTTCCAGAAAAGTTTTATCAATTTAGGGAACGCGGGTAAAATGTCTTCGCTTGGTAACGAAATACTGATTTCCTTCAGGTTATATTTAAGCGTTTACACATCATCCAATGGGGGTGTTGGCTGGGACTAATCTTGTACCCAGATCCTGCGGCGGCGATTATGACCCTCCAATCCAGACCATTACCAACACTTCTACTTCACGTATTGCTGAGCAACCCTTCGCCACATTTTCCTGTTCTTGACTCCTTCAGAAGCATTGTGCACATTCTTCAACATACTTGCTCTGTCAGAATTTCCCTCGACTCCTCAAAGGTGGACCCAGACTGTTGCCGCTGAAGTGAACCAAGTTTCTTGACAAGCCACTTGTATGTTTTAGTTTCTTTCTCAACAGAGTGATGCTCGCCAATGTACTTTTTAGCATTCGTTGTTATGTAGTTGCGAAGTTGAGGAGATTTCTTTAATTCTTTGGCAAGTGTGATAAATTCCTTTAAGGGAAACAACAAAGAAACATCATGGTACAATTTTCTAATGTTAAAAGTGAAGAGTACATTAGTAAAACTAGACTTCTTCAATACGTTATTTCTATTGTGGTTGGATTTTCTAGTTGATAATTTGCGTCGATTTTAAGCGCAGTTAAGGCCTTTTCAAATTCTCATGGCATCAACGATTTCTTCTGGTCATGACACCAGGTATTGTTAACTTAAGTGAGCAAAACACAACAAAATGATATACAGGCCAAAGAAAGCAAAGTTTCGATGAAAACATCATATTTAGCACAACGCCTTCAAAAAAAAGTGTTCAAAAACTGAAACCTTATATTTCTAATATGATTACAGTGACAAGCGGAATCAAGGTAACTAACAATGCAGTGGCGGATCCAGACCTCGAGCTAAGGGGGGACCCGGTTTTTTGTCGCTTGCCCTGCCGGCTTTTCTTCTTTCTGCGATTCTTTCTTTTTTTTAGATCCGCCACTGCAATGTATGCAGAAAAAGCATAAAATCTTATTGGGCTAGGATGTGTTTCTTGAAAACCAAAATGTATAAAGAGAGCAATTAGAGGCACTTTAGAAAGTCAATTCAATACTACTTTAATTACGTCACTTTTCTTTCGGGAAAAAGAAAACTTTATCTGAGTAACAAACCTCGGGTGAATTATAGAGAATACCAGTCTCTTTGTGTTTTATCACTGCAGAGTTTCCAGGAATGATTCGTGCCAGTACTGGAACACCAAGTGCCATGGACTGTTATCGGACAAAAACATAAAAAGTTAGAATATTCGAAAAGGAAAAAAGGCCTCACATTTCACCATGGCGAAAGGCCATCCATTATGATAATTGACCGGTCTGAAGTCGTTAACGATTTACAGGAAGAAAAAAAAAGTGTGCGACTGCTTGAAAAAAATTCGTTCTTCTATGATAACAATAATCGGATTTTTAACTAGTCACTTTTTTCTGACAATAAACTAATTACAGTGTGTGTTGAAATAAACCAATTATTTGAGTTTAATATTTAATGGCAGACGGACCAATCGGAGTTTGCGATAGAAAAGGCACATCTATGTTTGACCACAGCTGCCTGAACCAAGACAAATCAAGCTGCGCCTGCGCTCTAAGTTCATGGCAAAAGGCAGCGCACGCGATCATAACATTGCACGTGCGTTTCTTTTCGTCGCACGTGCTGCCTTTTGCAATGGACTTGCTGCAGCTACAATACTTGATATTACAATTGTCCTGTCAGAGTCACGTTTGAGGAGATTTTCAAATGAAAAATAAGAGAGAGGGAAAGCTTTTTTACTTTGTAAAATACAGCTTTGATTTAAGTCTTAGTTCTGATGCAGTCCGTTTGCGGCGATTCAGATGATTATTACTGATTGACTAACCTCTAAAAGAGCAGATGCCATTCCTTCACTGGTTGAACTGTTTACAACAGCGAAGCAGCTTTGCATTGCTGCATGGAGATCACATGCTGGCAATGGCGGAAAAATGTAAACTCCTGGAAATCTACAAGTAATAGTTACAGTTCCAAAAGTTAGTAACCATGAAATTTAAAAACCTGAGCTGTGGTATTTATGCACTGTAGTTGGAGGAAATATATTTCATCTATATATTGGGGATTCATTTTCACATTTTTTGCCATTGCAAAATTATCTTGGAAAATTAGTAACATGAAGTTTAGTACCCCACATACGTCAAGTAACATAAAAGGGAGTGTAACAAATCTCTTCTGAGAAACCATTTAGCAGAACTGAAAATGTTACTAGTTACAGGAGTAATTAAGCCTATGGTATGAAATTTGCAAATTATGAACTCAGGTAAAGCAATGATCCTTGCAGATCAGCTGTACTTTACAGGAAATTGTAGAAAAGAAGATTGACAAAAATTTAGGCTTTGACTGGATTCAAACCCTGCTTCCCAGGCACTAGTTTGGTGTTACTAGCAAATGAGCCATGAACTCACACAATGGGAGTGAGGCACATTTCAGAGGGTTCTTCGTTCCCGAGGAGGAATCTGGAATCTAAATTAATTTCTTAATTCTTGTGTAGGATATTGTGTTTTATTTTGTCAAGAACACAAAACTTTCAAAATCCTTTAAATTTCAGGCCATTGACACGTTTTCTTCCTAAAAACCTTTTCTCAGTACACAGAGGTTTATTTATGTTTATATCCAGTTATTGATACCTCTGCACTTTAGATTTGATCTCTCTCGCAAATTCAGTGTCAAGCTATTAACATAAAAGAAAGAAAACAAAAGCAAACATAAAATACAAATTCATCAAGCTCTTTAAATTAAGTGCACGTGTGTTATGATGGCTGTGCAGTTAAATTAAATTAATTTAAACGGTGCTCTCTCAAGTTTAATCAGCCATTTAATGCTTTAAGCTGAGCAAATATCAATTTTTAAAGATTATGTGATGCAAGTGTTTAAAGTTTAATCATATAATTTTATGTTTACTTAAAAGTGCAGTGCTGTGCCTTATACAAAATACATACCTGTGAGAAACTAAATAGGTTGCATGAGTTATTTTAAGACAAAAATATAAGGAGAGGAGGGTAAGGATTAATGAGGGTTAGAGAGACGGAGCAGGACAGAGAGGCCAGGCATGAGGGATAGATGATGGAGAGATGAGGAAAAAAAGAAGAGGAAGATATGCAATGGTGAGGGGTGAAAAAGGGGGGGGAGGGAGAAGAGGGGAAAGGTGAGGGGTGGGGAGAGAAGGATGAAGAGATGAGAGGGGGGGAAAGGGTGGAAAGGTGAGGGGTGGGGAGAGAAGGATGAAGAGATGAGAGGGAGGAATGGGGAAGAAGGATGTATAAGTGCTTATTGGGAAAGAACAGAGGAAGAATGAAGAAGTAAGGAGGGGGGTGGGAGTAGGACTGACAAGTAGGGGGTGGGGCAGGGGTATGGAGAGGTGGGTGATGGAGGGAGAGGAATGGAGGGGGAGGGGATGGGGAGAAGAATGGAGTGGTGAGGGGTACTAGAGAAGGAGAAAAAGGTTAAGGGGGTGAAGAGGACAGAAAAGTGAAGGGTTGGGGTGAGAGGAGAGAGGGAGAGGTAAGGGGTGGGGGAGAGGGACAGAGTGGTAAGGAGAGGGGGGCATGGAGCAAGGATGGGAGTGGAGGAATGAGGAGTGAGGGATGGAGAGCAGAATGGGAACTGAGGGGTGAGGGGGAGTGGCATAAGAGGTGGAAAATCCCTAATCACCCCATCCCCACCCACCTGTGCTCAAGTAATTAGACCCATGTGATAAACCAACAGAGTAACAAAAAGACAAAAAATTCCCATTGGTTTAAACAGAAACTCACCTCTGGTCCTACTATGACTAAGTGAATGCTATTGTCATCTTTATGCCATTCTAAGGGAAAAAATTAACGTTCTAAGTATTATAAATGCCTCTACAACAATAATTATCAAGGAAGGTGTTAGTTGGAACAATTAAAAAATATAATGAACTACTTCTTTTTTCCTTCTTACAATTTCAACACAACATCAAGCTGACATGAAGTGAAAATGAAGATAATTTTCGACAATGGAAATTATGCCCTTAAAATTGAAGGGTTAAGAAAAGTCTTAACTTAAGCCTCTACACCCAAACATCAGTATGCATATTCTCTATATTGTTTCCCATACATTTCCTAATGTGCTGATGAGGAGAATTTATTTCACAATCAAGAGTTCCTTGAGTTAGTAATCATTTCCTTTATTCTTATGACTGTATTGTGTGATTCAGGTGTGATACTGTAAGGAGAAATTAGATGCTAATCACTCTTAGGGGTCAAAGGTTTAAACCATGGTACATAAGCTCTGATTGGCTTGTCACACCAATGAGCCAAAGCATCACACCCACCTGATATTGACTCTGCCAGATAAAGAGGGTCTTTCACTCGCCTTAAACCAGCAACCAACAAAAACACAGTCTGTAAAAACAAAATGATGTCATAAGAGGTAAAACTGATTCTGATAATATAATGTTTTGGACTTTAAGGAGGCTGTATACATTAATGTGAAAAATGTCAATCAGGCCAAGATGCAGCAAGAGAAATTGTTTTCTTTTAATCTCTTAAATGTAGTAACTGAAGATTTGCAATATTATCATGCAGTTACTTCTCAGTATTGATAACTGAAATACCAAAATTTGAGATAGTGAAGCTAGATTAGTATAATTCATAAATTTAAGTAAATATGTTCTTGATTAACTCACTAAGCCAGTGTGTTTGTGACTAAGGTAACCATTTGAAATTTTATGTTGTCTCTGTGCATCTAAGAAAGAAACAAAAAAACACTGATCAAACTATATAGTTACAATATTAAAAACAACATCAACAACAAAACAAATCCAAAACAAACATTTAATATGGCTTTAAGATATTCTTATTGTAGGGTTGAGAGCCACTCAAAAATCTCATTGGTTTTTTTCACCTTCAATTACCAGCAAAGAAAAGTTAAACCAAGGTGAAATGGAACAACTTCAGATAAATGACAGAAAACTGAACTCTGGTATTAGAACACTATTATAGTTAAGTTACAGTCATTAATTGCTCACCAATGACTTGTTTGCAATAGTCATGGAACAGAAATCCTGAAGGCTCAACACATACTGCTGCAAGAGTTATGAAGTGAAAGACTGATTAAGGCAATAAGTAATGACCTTTTTAGGTACAATTTTTTTTTTCAAGTTAGACATAAAAAAAATAATATGAAATGCATGCTAAACTAAACTTATGAAGCTAGATTCATTGATTACCTTGTGGCTGTAAAATTATCTTCTCTTCACAATCTGGCTGTAAAGCAAAATGGAAAAAATACCAATTTTTTGTGTTGAGAAAAAAAATTGAAAAACAGCACCATCTATGTGTTATAGTGAATTGTTTGATGAGAAATGTGCCCTGATCTCCATGATTGTGAAGACCATTTTTAGCATTCATAGAAAACTACTTTAATCTCTCAAATCTTAATATTTACAGAGAATAATTTTATTGTAATTCAAAACCCACCCACAGAACCACTGCTTGATTCTTCATTGAAGAGCTAAAGGCCACAAGGTACCTAATAATAGAAATAAACGAGAACACTCAGTGGCAATAAAAGTCATGTGGGAGAGTGGAAAAGTGCATTACAATTATAACACTTAAAATCATGATTGAGACACTTTGATTTCCTTATACATCACCTAGAGACACTTTAAAGATGCTATAATGCTCCAAAGAAGTCTCAATGATATATCAAGGTGTGAAATTATTTTTCCAGGATTTTTTGTGAAAGGACCAAACATGTCTGAAGATGCCCCCTCAAGCAAGATTTCAAAGGATGTTCAGAAATTACCAGAAGTGACTGATAACAATAGATAGTCTGCAGTTCTTTCTCTTCCAAAGTATGTCCTTCCTTAACTGTAACAAAAAGTATGATCCATCCACTTTCACATAGCAAAATCTCTAAACAAACAAGCAAGTAAATTTGATTCTGAGTTTATCTCATTACTTTGCCTTCCTGATGGCTTTGGTCATAGTCTCAAACTTCTCTTTGTCTCGGTCATACTCATTAAGATCTGTTCCTCCAAATATGATGGCAAATGGCACTGGACAATCTGGCAAAGGGTTCAAAAGGAAATTTTCATATCTCTTTAATTATCATATCCACTTTCTATAATTACTATGTTTAATGAGAATTGCTCAACCCATTTCTTTCAATTTATCTATCACACATTTATCAATTGCAGTATTTACCCTTTCATTTTTAAGATCTGTAGTTCTCCAATCTACCTACTATGCATTACTATGAATATTAGCAAAGAGATTAACATCTCACATCAAGATGCAACACAAAAATTCCGCCCTGACTTAGTTGGGAGAAGTTGCATTTTGATGACATGTTAAATGCAGATTAACTACTGTGCAGGCAACCTTGATCAAAGTTATAACAGAATCAATAATCAAATAGATTCATGACTTCTGTCTCAGATTCCCATATGAGTCTGCCTGTGTCTCACTAATGTTAGATCTTATCATCCATCAAGACAAACTCAGGTAGAAGCAAAAATTGTGTCCAGGAAGGGTGTTTTCAAAAGTTTTGTATTGGGTTAGTTTAGATACTGACTTACCTAATAATAGTCGTCCAGCTCTCCAAGCATGTATGCCGATGGCACACTGGAAACCATCAGTTTTAACAAACTTGTTTACTGACTCACTGTCTTCAAAGGATGTCACACAACGCAAGCAGCAGGCTATGTCATAATCAGTGAGACACCTCCTAGGAATTTACCAGCGAGAAAAGAAAAGATACTTTAAACTTGCAGTACCCTGAAAACACATATATGTGCCTGTTTACTTTTTCTAAGCCTACAATATGTGAGATTTCCTTCTTTTCAAAAATCGGATTTCTGAAAATTTATTTAACGTAATCACCAAAGATTATCTAAACACTTTCAAAATATTTCCAAATTTGCTCTAATCATAAAAAAAAAAATTGGTTTTCAGTCCCTCAAACTGAAGTACATAAGAAATTTTTGCACTAAACTCAAAACAATATTCGATAGTTAAATATGCCATTTAGCCTGTTTATTAAACTATTTTTACATTATTTTTGAAAATAAATCTAATTTTCCGGTATATTAATCTGTTAAACTAGCTACACGAGGTTTTGACGGGCAAAGAAGTCCTGAAAAGTTCTCGTGAATCTTTAATGTCTATATTTCCCGAATACAGATACACACAGCCACGAAATTTTTGTGAGAATTGCAAACCGGTCAGCGTATGGACCTTTAGAACCTGCAGATATCTTTCAATATCTAAGGGCACTTTGATATTATTCCGCTTTATATTTTAACAAAATAAAAGCTCTTCTAATTGATAAATCTGCCGAATAGAAATATTACCTTCCCAAAATGCGACCAAAAGGTGACCTCCGATTACATATTTTCGAGGTTAATCGTTGATAGTAGTACCTGTTCGCCAACATAAAACAATTACGAACACTTAATTAGATCGCGAACACTTACCTAAGTCGATCGGCGGTGGAGAAATTTCCAGTTTCCGTCGTCAAAGACGCAAGGAACAAGATCTTCATGAATTTATGTCCAAATCTACTACCGGACAATAAACTTTTCGAGAACAAGTGCTACAAAAATATCAAGACATCGTATTTATATTACATCTAAAGTAAACAGAAATTGTTTACGTGTAAGGTGGAAATCTAAATTGGTAACCACGCGTTGGTATTTGACCCGCCCCGATCCCCGCCCCCAACTGGAACTCATTCTTTACCTAACTCATAAAGATTCACGGTCAAAATGGCGGATGAAAAGCTAGTAAAACATAAGGGTGGATGCCATTGTGGAAAGGTTCGATTTGAAGTGATGGCCCCAGCAATACTTCATGTGTACGACTGCAAGTAAGTTAAGACCTGGAAACTCAGATATGATCAGCCCATCCCAAATCTATGTAGAGACAATGGATTTTAGCAGACGTTGTCAGAGCTTCAAAGTTTGAAACAAAAAAGTTTCGAACTTTGAAACAAGTCCGATTCACAAATATGACTAAGTTACACTCTGTTGTGTCCGCCATCTCCTCACACCCACCGCCCTGATCTTAAAGAAAAAAACTAGCCTGATGTTCTGTAGACTCTTTTTCATTTCATTGCAAAATTAAATTTAGAATTTTTACCAGCTGATCTTTTATTATAGTGTTATCTCTCTGCCATCATAATAAAAAAAATTTACCAGTAAGATGCTTTTTGAAGGTCTCCTATCTCTTTAATAACCTGCTGCTCCAAGTAATTTCAAATCACTGATAACACCATTGGTCTTGATATAAATGTTAATTAACTTATAAAGAGTAGCTGAGGTTATTGACTATTTTTTTACTCTCTTGTGGATGTCAGTTTTCATTTTTGTCAAGCTGGGCAAAACAAGATTCCAAAAAATCATTTTACACCTTTTTGCTCCTTCATAACTTTCTTTTTGCTACACAGCTGCAGTATTTGCAAGAAGAAACAAAACAAGCATTTTATTGTTCCAAAGGATCATTTAACTTTGTTAGAGGTACATACTGTTACAGCAAGTTAACAATTAATCAAACTGTTCAAAACAAGTTACATGGCTTTTTATTGTTAAAAAAATACATCTGATCTTCTTAAGTAGCCTTTACACTTGCCTTGGATGAATCTCAAATGTCTAAATTAAAACTAATGATGTGAAACACCAAAGTTATCCAATCATGTTTTTGAATAAGTTGAATATCATTGAATATTCATGTCTAATTGCAAATGGTGGTGCTGTGAGAGCTAAGAGTTGACTAATGCCATTACTTCCATCTCTAGTATTTAAGGGGGTGATACTCTTGACAAATCAATGATATATCAGTGGATACATTTTCTTTTCTCTAGGGTAAAGACAATTTAACCTGCTACACATTTAATACACATGCTGCAAAGCACCTTTTCTGCAAGACCTGTGGTGTGCAGAGTTTTTACATCCCTCGATCTAATCCTGATGGTTATGGAGTCATGCCTCATTGTTTAGATGATGGTACAGTGGAGGATGTTGAAGTTGAGGATTGCGATGGTCAGAATTGGGAGAAGTTTATTGCTGAAAATCCTGGAATCAAAGAGCGATCAAAAAAGGAGTGACAGAAGCTTTCCTAATGGATAACCACAGAATGATACCATCTACACTATACTGAACCTGTTCCATTAAATCAGTCACAAATCACCATAGGGATACATTGAACAGTTTCTAAGATAACCAAACTTAGTATTATATTTTTCTCATGAAATATTCTCTATTAGAAGCCAATTAATGAAGGTGAAGTCCAAGTCTACAGACCTGTCAAATTCTTCAAATATTCTCACCTTCTATGTAGAATAATATTTAGCTAAATTTGTACACTCAAATGAAAAAATTTCTCACGTACAATTCTTGGTTTCCCACACAACTTGGTTGTAATAAGAGTTTAACCCTTTATCTACCCTGATTTAGCAAGACAGAATTTCTCCTTACAATATCAATACAACATCAAGAAGACAAGTGATGAGAATAAAGAAAAATATCAATTAGAGGAATATTATTTGATCCAGTACCAAATTCTCTGAACTTACATCATGAGAATTGTATAGCAGACAGTGAGGGGAATTGCTTATGAGATCTTAAGAGTGAAAGTGTTAACAAGAAGTTGCAATATAAAAGGTCCCATGATAAGTTGTCTATACATCCTTGCAGCAAAAAGGATGTTGTTGATGATAAGTTACCTAATGAAGTTGGAACTACTCCACATTTTCAGTGAGATTTCTTGCTTTTGGATGTTCATCAAGGTATCTTTCCCATTTCTGCCAGTCTAAAGCATCACATGGAACAACCTCTGCATTCTTTCTAGTTTCTTCTTCATCCAAACACTGCAGTGAAATGCCACGTCCCTCAGGATTTGAGCGAGGTTGGTAGAATGGGTGGATACCACAAGTGGAGCAAAAGTAGTGTTTAGCTTGGTGGGTGTTGAAGGTATAACAAGATATATGCCCCTCTCCCTTGGAAGAAAAAAATGATGATAATGAAGGGATGATTCGCTGATGAGTGTAAAAGCTGGGAAAGCAAGAAAAAACACAAGGGAGGACTCCCCTCACCCATCATTTATCACTCCATCCCAGACCCCCAACTATTTTTCCCTCTTGCTTTCTTGTTTGTCTCTACAGACTGAGATCCTGACTGTTGAAGTCTCCCTTTTAACATTAAAAGTTGCTAGGAAATTATGATCTTTTCCAAATACTATTTTTGTTAACATGATCTGATAAAAGGGATGATAGTTTATCTGCTTATAAAAAAATGTGCCTGTCAAGGCTGTAAAAGCCAGGTGTTTATATTTGGGTCAAGAAACTGGTTGACAAGCATGAGCTGATTTGAGATCGAAGTTTCTGATCTGCACTGCAGGGGTGTAAATCATGTCCACTGAAAGAGAGTTGAAGGGAAGAAACTCAGGATAGTTTCAGGAAAATTACGCGCAAATGAGTTTGAATGTATCAGGTAAAGCTCATTTGCACCCTGAAAATACAACACTAAGGGCTTATGAATACTTGATGGAGGGGGTAAGCTGCCAAGGAGACCCCTCAGGGAGACTTGAATCAGGGGTGGAGGGAGAACTTTCAATTTGTTATTATACCTACGCATCATTTAGCTTCAGGAACTGGAGGAAACCTTCATACCTGTGTCAATTTAAAATTTTCTTTTGGAAGCCAGACGAGAAACATCCCTTTTTTCACACAAATGGTACAGCTGATGACAAAATTAACAGTTAGAGACATATTATGTTCACGATCTGCTCCAATAAAGTAAAAAAATAGCTTGTATTACTTGCAGTCGTAAGCCTTCAGCACAGGTTTAGCTAAGACCTCGAAGCGAACTCTTCCACAATGACATCCTCCGGTGTGTCTAACAAGATTAACCGACATGATTAATTAAGAGAATTCAACCCGAACTTCTTCGCCATGGTATTAAACTATTTTGTGTTGGCTTCGCGGTCGGGCCAGTCCCTAAGACGGGCCGGTATGTCACGCAATTTGTCACGCAACCGAAATATCTGTTATTTCAACATTATAGTGATTCTTTTTACAACTGTAAAGCAAATCCCGGAAGCTAAAATGGCCTATTTTTAAGACGTTATTCATTGACGCGACTGTGACCTGGGTGATGAGCAGGATTTAATGGGAAATTTGTGTTTTGTAATTCACCTGGTTGGGGACAACGCTGCAACACATTTGTTATCTAAGCTCGGACTTGTTTCTAATCTCCTTTCCTAGGTGGAAGCAGTTGGATTCATCGTGAATGTAACCTCCTGTACAACATAGCGCATGCTTTTTCTCTCTCTAGGGTAATGACAACCCTAAGTAACTTGCTATAAATTCAATACACATACTGCCAAAATGACTGACACAGGTCTTCCTACCAAATTACCGCATAACGATATACCATCTACACTATACTGAACCTGTTCCATTAAATTGATCACAAATGACCATATGAGTACATTAAACAGTTCCTAAGTTAACAAAACTTAGTATTGTAAGTATTTAGTGTAATATTCCCTCAAAATTAACAGAGATGATGTCCGTGCCAGCAGGCCTGTGGCATTCTGCAGATGCTGCTACGTTACCTGCTACGTTAAATATTTTTTTGTTAAATTGTACACGCAAATTATACAATATAACACAGTATTTCTTGTGTTGAGATTTCTGTTAACTTATCTTTCCTTTACAACTTGGTTGTACAAGGAGTTTACCCCTCCAAACTAACACAAGAATGGGTCAAAGTCAATATGTGAGCAACTGTGCACCACCCCTCCCTTAACACAGCAACAGTCAACTGATTACAAGTTAGGGTTAAAGTTGGGTTTGGGGAGGGGTAGGTGCACAGTTGGTCAGATTCTGTCATTGATTCATGAGAATTGCATAGCATGCAGTAAAGAGAATTACCGATGAGATCTTGAGAATGAATGGGTTAACAGGAAGTTGTATGTCAGCTAACAGTAAGCTGTTGATGATAATTCATCAACAACTGAATTAATTAAAATTGAATACTACTCCACATTTTCAGTGAGATTTCGGGCTTTTGGATGTTCATTAAGGTACTGTTCCCACTTCTCCCAGTTTGTAGCATCACATGGAACAACTTCTGCTTTCTTTTTAGTTTCTTCTTCATCCAAACACTGCAGTGAAATGCCACGTGCCTCAGGATTAGTGCGAGGTTGGTAGAATGGGTGGATGCCACAAGAGGAGCAAAAGTAGTGCTTAGCTTGGTGGGTGTTGAAAGTGTAACAGGATATATGCTCTCCTCCCTTGGAAGAAAAAGAAAATAATGAGAATGATGACAATTTAGGGATGATAAGGGATTGAATTTAAAAGCAACCAAGAGATATTACAAGGGAGGGGGGGGGGAAGGACTATCAAGAGGAAAGCAAGGACTCTCCCCTTGCCCCCTTACACATCCTTTTTCACTCCTTTCCAGACCCCCACCCATTTTTGCTTGCTTGCTTTTTTGTTCGTTTATGGTGACTGAGAACCTGACTTTAAATAGTCTCCCTATGAACACCCAAGGTTCTTGTGAAAGTATAATCACTTTAAAAGAATTATCTCTATATGATTTGTTGAAGGCAATGATGCTTGAACTTGTTTTGAAAAAATGTTGTAGTCAAGGCTGTTCTGACGTTCTGTGGGCATGAGAATCACGCTTTAGTTGCAGAGAATACCCCTGGTACAATCACAAGATTGTTATGTGCAAAGAGAGTTGGAATTTATCAAGTATAACTTATTTTGCCATGGAAATAAAACAACAACACAGAAATACTTCGAGTTTAAAAAAAACTTAATGAAAGGGGTAATCTCCAGGAGGAACCCCTCTGGGGGGCTTGTATTGGGGGTGGAGTTGGGGCTTACCTAATTATGTCAACCGGTCACTTTGCATGATGCACTGGTGAAATTCTTCATACCTGCGTTAGTTTGAAATATTCCTTTGGGAGACAGACGAGAAGCATCCCTTTTTTCACACAAATGGTACAGCTGATTGACAATTATGAAAAAATTAGAGGTAGATTATGTACAAAACCCACTCCGTTACATGTCAAATCTAAAAAAACTTAAAAATAGCGTCCTCTTACTTGCAATCGTAAGCCTTCAGCACGGGTTTAGCTAAGATCTCGAAGCGAACTCTTCCACAGTGACATCCTCCGGTGTGTTTAACAAGATCAGCAGACATGATTTACAAGAAATTAGGAGGACTCACCTCAAAATTCTTCGCCTCGGTTACTAGTTTACGTTGGCTATGCATCCGGGCCACTAGTAACTCACGCAATCTGTTTTAGCTAAAATAAGTCACACAACGAAATTACTTGTTGACTGAAGTTATAGCTGTTTTCACGCAGGCGTTCCTTGACGTGATTTGAATTAGGTGAAAAGTAGGATGTAAAGAGTAATTTGCTCTATTAAAAAGACAAAAATAAAATAAAAGAATTTGAAATTGCTTTGAATGGAAAATTTCGCAGCAGTACATTGTTTAACTGAATTGCGGATTGTTTCTTATCTCTTCTGTCTTAAGGAAGCTGGTCGACTCATCGTGAATTTTCAAAAATCCTTTATAATACAGCACACCGCGCTTGTCCTATCTAATTTTCATTTTGCCATCAAGGTATATCTAACAGATACCGTGTTGCCTGGTCTGTAAGAGATCACCGATGACGTCAAAATGTGACAAGAACTGAGAAGGTGGCGCAGCAGGAAGGGGAGAGGAGGCTGGGTGGGGGAGGGGAGGCTTAAAAGCAAGATCATGACATCTTGTTCAAATCAACTTCAGTCAATAATTTACAAACTTGGGTTATGAATTGATTATAAGTTTTAAACAAATTACTTCAAATTTGCAAACTTTAGAAGGGGAAAACTCAATTTTTTTTTTAAAAAAGGTCACAAACATAGGTCTAATAGCTGTACATACAAGTGATAATTTCTTTCCTGAGGGGAAATCAACTTCAGCAAAATGAAAATTTAGGTCTTGTAACTTAAAAACAATAACCAAAAAATACCTTTTTCTTGCTCAAAAGGGTATTGAGTTTTTGCAATTTTTTCAACAAAATGCAGTACTTCCATCTGTTACCCTGTACATAAAACAAAGTGAAAAGAACATTCTTGTCCAAGTATTATTTATTTTCAAACATCCAAAACCAATTTTAAAAAAATATCACATCAATGTACAGATGGTAAGCCAGCATTTAAGTCATCATGTGGGGAACCAGAGACCCAAAAACTACTTCTCAGAGTGTGGCTTAAAATAAATAATCACCTCCAACTATATAAACAATGAAAATACTGTTTGATATTCAAATAATTTACATACAACAAATTTGATATCATTCTTTGGCCTCACACAGCTAAGTAGCAGCATTATAACAGCACATCATGAGGTTGTTGTAGATTTGAACACTATAGGCAAATCTTATCAACTCCTAACTACCTCCTGAACATTTCCCATGGAACATTCTCAAGGGGTGCAACCTATAATACTGCCTGAATGAGTATGTAACAACAGACATGGTTATACGGTTCTTGATACTCAAAAGACTCAAGAAAAAAAGCAGGGTATAAAATCTAGCCCCTTAACCCTTAGAGTTGTACAATCAGGTTGCCAATTTACCCTCTTGGCAGCTCAACTGTCACTCCTTGTGAAGAAGTTAAAAGAATTTGGCTTAATACCAAAACAATGATTCTTAAGCCTCTTGAAAAGGAAGTCTTTCTGGACCAGAAGTCTTATAGTCAATAGTCAGCTAAGGCCATGGTGGTATATTTCCATCCAGAGTTCCCTTTTATTGCCCCCAACCCCTGACTCTTGGTGCTACTGCACATTGTCAGTGTAGTTTGAGGCACCTGGATGTTCCATCAAGTACTTTTCCCAATTTTCCCAGTCAAGGGCATTAATAACGACTGTATCAATTTTTTGTACAGTTCCTCCATCCAGACAATGTAGTGAAATGCCATAAGCCTTAGGATTACTGCGAGGTCGATAGAATGCATGAATTCCACATGTTGTACAGAAATAGTGTTTAGCTTGATGGGTGTTATAAGTGTAACAAGAGATGTGGCCTTCACCCTAAAAACAAAAGAAAAACAAACTCATAACCATTGAATCACCAAAATGCCAATTGGGCAGGGAGAATCAGCACACCAGTTGCAGTAAAATCAGATTTTCATTAACAAGCAATAATTGGATGAGGTTGAACATATCATGAATTATCAAAGCAGAGGTGGCAGACTTATCTGCCAAAGCCAAAGGCTGAGGCAGATAACACAGACACAAGGTTTGATAATTCATGATATCAAGTGAAAAACAAATTTAACATTTTTTAAACAACCTGCAACAAAACACTGAAAAAAAGTTTAAGAACACTACAAGGACTAAAGGCTTGCTAACTAGGCAGAATTTAAACTCAACTTGATAAATGCAATATCTGCTGCAGATATTTCATTTTTATGTCAAAGTCACACACTATTGTATATTGATTGAATGTTCTTAACCAATCAGATTTTCATAGTAAGTCTAATGCATGTAATAGGCTTGATGAATAGAGTCAGGACAGGAGATCATCCTTTTTATCACAAGTAGGTGATGACAGTTTTATTGTTGAAAACTTGTTGATTAAAAATGTATCAACTCACACAGCCCTAACGTCGTGTTCACCTCATATCTCAGAAAAATATGTATTTACAATTGAGTTATACACTACAAACACTGCATACTCAAATTTAACAAACGTGTGAAAGATATGTTGGATACATAATTTTATATACCTGGAGAAGTTTAAAGTATTCTTCAGGAACAAGAACAGGTGTGATCCCTTTCTTCACACATATGGTGCAACTAATGAAAACACTTGTAAGTTAGTGTCAAACATATGGATTTTTCGTATAAATATCATGAATAGTGCAATTTAATTGGCTTCGCAGCTTGCTACCTACTCCTCGACTGTCGAGCTCATAATCACAAATTGTTAAACCATGTAAAACAAATTCAGTAAAAAGGAACATTTACTTGCATTTCCAAGCCTTCAGCACGGGTTTAGCTAAGATCTCGAAGCGAACTTTGCCACAGTGACAACCTCCGATGTGTTTAACAAGATCGACAGCCATCACAAATAGTAGCCGAATTCTTGGGTGGTTCTTTGAGTCCATGAAAACCTTCAAAACTAAGGGATGGCATATGTTGCTTATTTTTTTCAGGTTACCTAGTTCCCAGGATCCCACGGGACTGACGGCTTAAGAGAAGGGACGACATACCTTAAGCTTCGAAATCGTTCCTTGTCTGAAAATTGTTAAACTTCCGACGACAGCATACAATTTTTCTACCGCATTTTTAATGATTTCTCAGCAGCAGCAGCTTCTTTCCAATGGTTGTCTCTCATCTACTTACCTTTTAAACCACAGGAGTGATGAAAATCTCACTTCCCCCAACAATTACAAGAAATTATTCCACTGCACAGTTGATGGAGATAGGCAAACCAGCCAACTAGATGGTGCAATCTCTATTAAGCTTGATATAAAACCAAATTCTCCAAACTCCTTTCGAGGGAAAAGTGTTGAAATCAAATGGGAAGAGACTATCACTGATCTTGAGACTACAGTGTACATGGCTAAGAGATTCTATTCCATTCTAAACAGTTAACCTTTTAATTTCACCTTAGCCCTTTCTTAAAATAAGGACTACATAAGGACTACAATATAATTTAAATAATTTCATAAGTTTTAACAATAACTATTCCATGCTGCAGCTTAATAGTGGCAGTCTCAACTCATGGTTGTTTAACTAATATCATTACATCTATCTGAATAATAGGACTGCCCCAAAACATGATATGCACCAATAAAAGAGAAAAAAACTGATAGTGTTTTTACAAAGAACATCCATTGACCCAAAAGGATGCAAAGCTACCTTATTTTCTGGGTAAACTTGCTGTATTGCATGGCAAAGGGCACTTTTTTTAGAGTGAGTGTACACCAAAACCTAAGTAATAATCACAGCTAATCAGGAGCATATTTTGCAAGGAGCCAATGAGAAATCAAAAGAAAAACATATAGCTCTAGCATCATAATTAGTTTCAGTGACTTTCCACTTAAATTACAGCACATAAAAAGGCAAAAAAATGACAATTGCAGGCACACATTACTTTTGCCAGTTATGAAAAATTTGCAATGATTTTGCAATCTCTAAAACATATGTAATGCAATGTTTGATTAGAAACCTCTTAAACTGCAAAGCTATAGCAATTGAAGATGTTAAACCCTCACTTCTGTTGAGGATTGATTGATTAACTAATCAGAATACCTGATCTCATACAAATTTATCATTATTACTTAATGACAAGCTCTGTTTGTACTACCTTTATAATTTTGCTTGCTGTGTATGGCTTAAAAATTCATCTCCTTCTTTAAGAAGTATAAAAGTACTTAAGTATCCTCAAGGTAAACCTCTACAAAAATGAATTGATAGAAGACAAAAAGATTGAGTTCCAGTCACTTTAGACACAGCTGATTTTAAATTAAACTACAGTTCCACTCAGTAGTAAGTTAACAGTCCTTTGAAACTTAATTGTGGATACTTGATCCTTTATATGCAAAACTATTTCATAAAATGTGCAAGACAGCATTACCTCTATATCAAATTGCTTATCACAGAGCCAATGAAAAACTAGAATCTACTTTTCTCTCATAACTATCTCCTTACCTTCCTAAATTATAAACATAGAAGTCCTTTCACTTCCAAGATTTCAGTATCAATTCTATTTACTCTGTGTAACACATTTCTTATGATTCCAAAGCTGACAAGTTGGTGATGAATCAAGCAATATCCTCTACTTTGATTATTCTCTTTCTCCTCGTCACCTCTCTAAAGAACAATGCAATAAAGCAAAGGGACAATCATTTGTTGATATTTCTTGGAAGTGAAAGGGTCAGTTTGTCTGTGATTTACTATGTTGTCAAGCCGTCATATGAGGGGTCCACTTTGAGAGGGTAGCAAAAGGTCTAGATGTGAAGTGAGATTAAAGCCAAAATTAAGTCAAACATGATATGTGAACCCTGGATTTTTTTTTTTTCATTTTGTGAAAGCCTCAACATTTCCCTGAAACTTTGCTCCAAGAAGAGAGCTTTGAAATTCACCCCTTTGAATTTGAAATGTATAAAATGCTGTTAAAAGTATATATGATTTGGAATTTTTCTAAAATTTGTGCATAAATGGGATCAGGACCCCCCCCCCCCCCCCCCTTTGCTACTCTCCCTTCACATCTCTTCTAGTATAGGCTTTTATGACCAAATTACAATGGGTTCACTTACCTCACTTACCCCAGTATGACCTACACAAGGACAATTTTTTTTACAATCAAAGGCTTGTTTAGTTGGTGGTCATTTCCTCATCTTGTGATGTTAATGTTTGATTTAGGGGTGATATTGTAGGGAAAAATTACCGATAGATGCTAGTCACTCTAACTGGCCAAAGGGTTTATTGGAAACCTGTTGACTTGCTTTGTCTATCCCTACAATTTCAGTTTACAAATAGTACTTGAATTATGCATTAGCTCCATGATCTTGTTCTCTGTTTTCTATGACTGTCACCTCCATATCATCATCATCATCCTCTGGTTTGGGACTTGGTACCTCATCCCGCCTGATATATGTAGCTCCCAGCAATGATGGGTTTGGACAGCAACAGGTTCTCTGCATTGCCAGAATCAGTGACTTCCTAAACTTCCTTAAACGCCAGGCAAAAACAAAAGGATCCATGGCAAACTTCCACAACAGGAAAAGCTGGGCAATCATCAATGCAATATACCCGTTCAATGTAAAGTTGAACAGCACTAGGGCTAAAGTTATACAGAATGGCCAAACAGTTATGATCAACATTGCTGTCAAGATCAATGTTCCATACACAAAATCTTTTTCAGCCTGTCGTCTCCGCTGTTCTGACTCAGTAGCTTCTGCAGAAAGTCCTTCCTGTCCTGCATTTTCCCCTAAATCAGCATTTCGATGTCGTTCAGCCAGCTTACGGAACTGGAAGTAAATGGCTATGTACAGTACTAGAAGGGCAATAGTCAACAGTGTTACATGCATTATCAAGTCCGTCAAGATGTAGGCGAAGTCATCAACATCAAACATTTCAGGCAGCAATGCGAAAAATATTGCATAAATCCAAATAAAAACCACTCCGATGCGCGCAGATTTTGGGCTTACGAACTTGTCGTAAATTCTGGGGCTGTTAATCAGTAAATACTGAATAATCCCCAGTCCTAACATAATGAGGAAGGATGCGTTCATAGTGAAAAATGAAAAAGCTTGAGCGAAGCGAAGAAATTTCCACAGGTCTTCTGAATCGGAGGTGTAGGCCCAGAGATAGAACACCACATAAGCTGGCTCCACGATCAAACCAGTCAGGAAATTGGCGCTTGTCAAGCCAGCGATAAAGATCGCCGACGGAGTTCGAAGACACTGGAGCGGGTCTTTGTAATACGTAAACAGAAACACGCCATTGCTAATAACTGTTGCTATAGCAAGTACAAACAAAACCATGATGGAAAACGCTTCTACCATGAAGTAGACATGATAATCTTCAGAGTATGTAGAATTTGTGGCATTTGTAAGATTGGATGAATTCATGACTTGTTTGCGGAAAATATTCAGCCAGCGCCTAAGTTACAGATCTGATATAACAGCTGGACGACAGCAAATTCAGAGCTTTAACACTTCCTCGGAGGGTTATTTTCAAAGCAATTCTTTAGCAACCACTGTTAGAGGGAAGAGTCTTCGAGATCTATTTCGTAACGGCGAAGTTACCCAAACATTGAGACTTGTGATCAAAGATGGAAAATTGCAGCTTGCAAGCTGCGCAGCCACTGATCCGCCCACGCCAAATGCCGTCGGGACCTGGGTAAAAGTCACGCAAAGGTATCCGATGAGGTTGTGTGACTAAAGAATAACAAAAAAAAAGTTGTAGATGAAAAATGTCTTTCATATTTCTTTACTTTCAGCAACAAAAGCATATCTCGTAAATTATATTAATAAGAATGACCTCTGCTATGGAGAAGATAGTACTGTTCAACAGATGTTCCTTATAATTCCAAATTCGTTAGAAGTCACCCAATAATGTTCTTTCACTGTTGGCGTCAGTGAAAGCGAAGACAAACAACCGAACAAAAGAACAAATAAACAAAGACAGTGTATTTGCAGCCTTGCCTTCAGATTGCTGTCGCGAGATCGCTCCCTAAAACTCGTATAATACAGGACAGACATTTCGAATCCTGGAAACCGCAGCTGAGGTTTGTAAATTATTAAGATCTTAGCTTTTGATGGTTTTTCGCCTCAAGTTTCACCGCAGTCATTACCGAACAAATATTAATAATAAATAAGTTTTTTTCCTCTTAAAATAAAATAATCATTTCTTTGTTTCTTCTGTATATTTGCAGAACAATCAATTCCTTAGGTCCGAAAAATGTTGACGAATTTCAATGCCCGAAGCATCTAAACATTGCGGGCAAAAGGGGCAAAAGTATTTGATCTCTAATTTCTCATATGAATACTGAACTATTATTTTTAGTGCGGAGTCTCATTTCCGCGTCTGCCGGAACGAAGCTGAGTTCGTAGAGAAGTGGACCACGTGCAAGCTTTATTTGGTTCTTACGTCCCTTTCAAAGACCCTCTCGTGTTTTCATAGCCGAAGAAGATATGTCAAGTTCATCGAATGCGACATATTCCTCCAGCGGTCCCCATGAGGACTTCGACATTTACTACGAGATAGACGTAGCCTCCATCGTTGTCATGCTGTTCTTAGCTGTTGTAACGGTTATCAGTAATGGGGCTTTTTTATGGACTTTCTACAAAGATCCACTAAAATGTCTCCGAAAGCCGTCTGCAATTTTCATCTCCGGTTTGACGAGCGCTAACTTTGTGAGCGGCCTGATTGTGGAGCCATCTTTTGTGGCGTTCTATTTCCGACATTTCCTCTCGCACTCGGCGGAATTTCTTCAGTACTTCAGTGTTGCGCAGTTGTTTGCTTTTATGACCACAACTACCTCATTCCTCGTTACTTTGGCACTGGCAATAGTTCAATACTTACTTATCAAGTTTCCCAGCAGTTATCGGAAAATCGTGAGCCCTGTATCAGCATTTGTCGGCGTACTTTCCATTTGGATTTATTCGTTAATTTTTGGCTTGATTCCATTGATGTCTACCGTCAACAGATTTGCATATGTGTTGACGAACCTTGTACTTCACATAATGATACCGACTGTTTTACTTGTAATCTTGTACATAGCTATTTATTTGGAGTTTCGGAGTCGTTTTCAAGTTAACTCTGACAGAAGAATGGAAGTACAACAAGCCTCATTTCAACTCACAGAATCCGAGGAACAGCGACGAAAAGCAGAAAAGGATTTTGCCGTCGGAACGTTCATTTTGACCTTTGTACTAATAATTCTTGTTTGGCCATTTTGTGTGTCTCTGTACATGGTGAACTGTTGTTTCACAGTGAGAACAGCTTTAGCAGTGAGAATCGCTCAACTTTTCTTACTGTGCAAGTTTGCCGTGGATCCGTTCCTGTTTGCTTGGCGTTTTCAAAAGTATAGGAAGTCGTTGTTTCTAGCAATGCAAAGTATCTGTTTTTGTTTCAAGCCGACGTTACCGCGCGCCATAATTGTCAGAAAAAATGAAAAAACCAGTCCTAAAACTGATGAGGATGATGATGATGAAGAGGGACTCGAAGTAACTGTCGTGAGGGACTGATTAAGATTAACACTTTTAAAAGATTGATATAAGATAAGGCTAATCTGTGACTAATCTTCTCAGGCGTTCTATGGGATGTCACGCAACATTCCTCACAAAAGGGGCTTTATTCGAGGCAGAGTTATGTGACATCTTTAACGGCTTTAGAAGAGTATAATGTTTGGCAAACGCCACATATATAATTCAGGAATATTAGTAGATCTCTTGCATGAATAACGTAGACGGCAAATTCTAATAAATAGTGGAATATCTTAGAATGGTTTTAGAATGTCTAGGGATGTCAATTCTTGCTTTCACGCATTCAAAGCCATGTTTGTGATTAGTAACCCTATTACTTTCAAGTTGATCAATGTTGGTATGTCCTGCATTTATTTGACGAGTAGAATCATTAACATCATTCTCTTCAATTGTTTTGTAGAGGAACTCTAACGCTCGGCGGAAAGAGTAATATTCCTGTTAAAATGATTTTCATTTTATTTATCTATTCCTGACAAAATTACTGTACAAGACTTTACACAGTCTAGCGATACATCATTTTACGCTAGAATGGTACAATACACAAAAAAACTGCCCTACCATATTACTAATACTAGCACATAATAATTATTATGTGCTAGTATTAGTAATATGGTAGGGTAGTTTTTTAGTGTATTCAATAGTTACAGTTGTATTTTACAAAAACTATGATGAGTTGACAACATATTCCTGTCCAATGTAAAGTTCTGCCCTATTTGTGGGTTGCTTTTATCTTGGCTATGAACACCTACCTATAAAGACAGATATTGCATTAATATGAATAAAATTCAGTTTATAATATAAGGTGTTTCAGATATAATGTAGTCTTCAGCAGTATCAAAACATCCAAAAATAACTTGTTCTGATGTTACAACTAGAGTTACTACATTGGTCAATAGTAAGATGAAATACAGTGCCAAAATTATTTCTTTGCATTAAGGGATTCTATGTCGGGAACCGTGAACAATGCCTTAAGTCGTTTTTAGTTTCGCTATTGTTGTTTTTGTCATGACTGGAAATGTCAACAATCAATCAATTTCCCAGAATGTACTTTGTGCTCCGAGGTATCACGTTTCTTTTCTAGTTGGTTGAGAAATCCTGCACGCGGTCGAGTTGTTGTTGATGCTTTAGTTATACCTGGATTGTATTCGTCGATTAAAAGAGTTGATTAATCAGGGAACGTGTCTTTGGTGCGTTTTCGACATCTAACTCTGATTTGCAAAGGCGCAGAGAGGTGAGTCGATCTTTTTAAATTTGAAAAGGTTTTCTTTGGCGAAAACATATATATTTTATTAAGAGTAGTATTAAACGCTAGAGATCAGATTTCTTTATACTCTACCGAAAAGGTAGGGTGTTTTAGAATTAATAATATACATGAAAATTACTCAGTTCTGATTGGTTAAGATAAATGCAGTTTTCAGGTAATTCAATGCAGAAGAGGCTTAAATTCAGTGCAAAGAAAGTAACAAACCAGACGCTCTGATCGGTCAATACTCATAGAAAATCACAGAGAGCCAGTAAAATGCGAGCCTTGGATGTCGCGACATTTGGATACGCTGAAAATTTGCGAGAGAAACAATGGCCGGTGTATTAAGTAGGTTTTCTTTCGCCACCGCAACAACGATACAGCGGCTGAAAAACAGCTCTAATAACGAAAACACTGTTGGTTGTCGGTTTGGAAAAAGTGGTGTTTAGTGAAAGGACTTGCCAAGGAAATCGAAAATAATGAGCCGACCCAGCTTAACACTTTACTAGAGCGATTCTTCGCCGAAATTAAACCTCGAAACGACGATTCCATTTCATCGAAAGTGATTCGGACACAGACTGAACAATTCATTGAACTGTTTAGCCGGACTTTGAACTTTTTTAGCTATCTTGTATTTTTTCATGTATATTTAATAATAAGTTGATAACGTAAATTGGCCACTGCAAAGAGTTTAAAAGCTGTCGTTTCCAGCGTTAGCTCTTCGTCAGAGCGATCGACGAAGGGCTAACTCTCGTACAGAAGTTTCCGGGGTCTCAGCCGCCTGTCGGAATGGTTCGATGCAAACTATTTGTTAATAAACAATGCCAAGACGCAAGCACTTCAGATCGGCCCTTGCAAAAACGACTTTGACTTAACTTTGAATGGTTGAATTCTTTTGTTTTCAAGATTGCGCTTTCGACTGCAACCCTTTTTTCTTTCGTAAGTTCTCTAGACACAGGAAGTATCTATTTCTTTTTTCACTTTCTTCATACCAATATCCTCTTAATCCTAAAATTTGACCCTGGGTTTGGGGTTCGCCACATTTAAGAACTAGTAACACTCCTAAAATACTTGATTTATATGAGGTTGGATTATGAATAACGCTGAAATAAAGGATTTATCTTTTGGGAGCAGGTTTTTCTCATATTAAGTTCATTTATCAGGCAATAGTATCTTACATTTCAACAGAAAGTGGAGCGGAGCTGTCCACATCCTCTGTCCTTTCCCACGAAAATTATTTCTTAAATTATGCATGCAGTTACGACAGCATGTCAATCACCCTTATGTTATCAAAAACTATGTAAAAAAGTGAAACGAAACTGAGTCATCGGTTGAATCCGGCCAAAATTTTCATTTCAGTTACCAATCGATCCAGCAGTATGGCAGATGTTTCGACTCCTCCGGGCGATTTTGAAACGATAGACACAGCTGAGATTCAAAACTATGTTGAACAGAATGGTGTGAGTGGTATTTCAGAGTTCTTGAAGGAGAAGTTGGATACTTGGAAGAAAACAGAGGTTCACATTGGAATCACTGGCGACTCAGGAACTGGCAAATCGAGTTTTGTCAACACGATAAGAGGGTAAGGAAACTCATAGCAATATAGGGCTGAAGCTTGCAACCTCAACTTTTCTCAGTTGGCTGTGGCGATCAATTGGGGTCGTCAATTCAGGTTAACAGTGGACGCCTAAACTTTCCCCCTAACTTCTCAAAACAGTCTCTTTAGGAAAAACTTTCTTTGTTGACGTCCAACTAAGCTGACTTATCCTGACGTTGTACTAACTTTTCGAAGTTGTGAAGTTTCGATAGTAGTACAAGAGTTGGGGGTACGGACACATTTTATGATTCATCTCAAGTCTGTTAAATTACACTCGCTTATATTCTGTGGCACTTTCGGAAAAAACAGGAAGTTTATTGCGTTATACTCTAGAACCGTAGACAAACCATCTGCCCATTGAAATAACATCTTGTCACAATTTGGAAACGTTGAAGTCCAAACTTAAGACATTTCTTTTTGCCAAAGTTTTTAGCGACTAAGTTATTTCTTTTATGAATCATTTTATTTATTTCCGTGTACTACATTGTAAAGCGCATAGAGCCTTCGTATATGCGCTACATAGATGAGTTGTATTATTATTATTGCTTTAGGGGCTTTCCAGAGAAAATGAGACATCACAACGCTATATTGTTATAAGGTCGTATGATCGTCATAAGACAGTCGTATGATTTTTGGAAACCAATCATAATTGAGAAAGTTGGTAAACAAAAGATAACAGGAAATTCTTGCTCTTACAGTGATATTAATATACATGAAAAAATTACTCAGTTCTGATTGGCTAAGATAAATGCAGTTTTCAGGTAATTCAGTGCAAAGAAGTAACAAACCAGACATTTTGATTGGTCAATAATCAAAGCAACTCACAGATAGCCAATCAAGTGTGAGCCTTGGATGGCGCAACGCTTGGATACGCTGAAAATTTGCGAGAGAAACAATGGACAGTGTTTTAAAGAGGTTTTCTTTCGCCACCTCAATAACAATGCAGCAGCTGAAAAACAGCTCTAACAACGAAAACACTGTAAAAAGCACTGCTTTTTGGTTGACGGTTTGGAAAAAGTGGTGTTTAGAGAAGGGAATTGCCAAGGAAATCGAAAATTACGAGCCGACCCAGCTTAACACTTTACTCGAGCGATTCTACGCCGAAATTAAAAACAAACATGGTTAAACCTCGCAAACGACGATTCCATTTCATCGAAAGTGATTCGGACACAGACTGAACAATTCCTTGAACTGTTTAGCCGGACTTTGAACTTTTTGCGCCTTAAAGATGTGAAATTATCATTGTTTTGATCGTACGCGGTTGTTTTGATCGAACGCACAAAGTCACTTGCAGTGTTTGAATAAATTATTTTTGCACTTGATGCGCGCGCTTTGCTTCTGCATAATTAAGATAAACTATCTCGTATTATTTCATGTATATTATTAATAAGTAATCACATGATTTTTCTCCTGCAATTCGGAATAAATAACCACTTGTTAATTTTTCAAAGACCACAAATTGCACTCGCCCTACGGGCTTGTGCAATTTTGTTAGTCTTTGAAAAAATTTACTCGTGCTTATTTATTCCAAATTTCACTCGAGATCATGTGATTACCTATACTAATAGTACTTGATATGATTTGAAATGTATAGCGTTAGAGAATTTATCAGTTTTATGAAAAACTTTGAAGTATAACTTCCCTTTGAACCACCACATGATGGAGTTTAATGACTAATAGGTAAATTTTGAAGTACAAAAACCAAAAACAGATCGGGGTCGTACTCACTTTTTCTTTTAACTCGTGTACACTGCTCGAACGTAGACACGCGCTAATGCTTACGCGTAATGAGCAGATCGCAAGACCGCTGTTCACGGGAACACGTTTGCATTTCCTAAAAAACGTAAATGAAAGAAATCCATGAGATCTGGGGTTGGATTTCTTAATTGAAATCCGCCTCGAGGACGGATTTTTCAGCGTCAAAATCCGTGTTTGGATTTCACGTTTCATTGCAAAATCCGAAAAGTCGATTTAAAAATCTAAATTCAGATTTCCCAATTGAAGGCATCCTAAATGAGTCGGGAAAAACACCCTCATTAGAAAGCACTGGGAAAAAGGTTCTACCTTAATTATACATACTCCCTTGTGTTGGGCCGGTAATTTTATAAACGATGGCTTCATGAGTTTTGATTAAGATAACTTCACACCGTCGAGGAACTAATTATTGACAATATTTTTTTTGCAACAAATTTAATTTGATTTCTAAAACCTAAATTTTCCTAAGTCTAAGGCTTAATTTTACGAAAAAACATACGTAAAATGATCCGTAACAAATTAAAACACCTGTTCCTTTCCTAGGCTTGCTGATGATGATGTTGGTGCTGCCAAAGTTGGTGTTGTTGAGACTACTGTTAAACCCACTTCCTTCGATCATCCACAAAATCCAAACATAAAGATTTGGGATTTGCCAGGAATTGGAACAGAAACATTTCCTGACATGAAGACGTACCGCAAAAAAACACAGTTCGACAAGTATCATACATTCCTTATTTTTTCATGCACCCGATTTACCAGGAACGACGTCTTATTGGCCCGAGAGATCAAGAAACAGGGCAAGTCTTTTTTTTTCATTCGCACAAAAATCGATGAAAATTATCGGGCTGAGAAGCGAAAGAAACTTTTCGATGAGGGTAAAATGCTGCACGACATCCGCATCGACTGCTTGAAGAACCTGGCTGAGGAACGTGACAACCCCATCAGCGGTGAAGACAACA